GGGTTGGATGGAGAATGCTGGTGAGCGGCCTATGCTCCTTCAAGAGGAGTAACAGACGTAAGTAATTACTTAGCAACGTTTTACGCTTATCGAGTTTGTTTAACCTGATAATTATGGATGGCATAGGCAATGCGAGCCGACGAATGAATGCTTCTGAAATCAATCTATATAGGAAAACCCGTATACTTACGGAGAAATAAAGAGAATAGCAACGACGTAAGCGTCAGTTACATTACGATTAGTACTGGACAAGAAATAATGCAAAGTCTTGACAAAGTTCACAATAACGCCTGTTCACAAGATTTTTAAATGGTTGATGGCGCACTTCACTGACTAGGGAAACTTTTGAAAATGTATAGTTTTTTAGACTTTTTCAAGTCTTGAAGCTTTGTAGGTGTGTTTCTAGTCCTCAGATTGGAAAAAGGATTCTAAACAAGTCAAAACGAGTTGGATAGCGATTGTTCTTAAAATTAACTTCCTCATAGGTGTATGCTTTTCGCTTTTGTCAACCCGAAAAGTAAGTACAGAATATGTGATAATGGCGTTTTTATGCACTCTGACCTGACGGAAATCTTTGTCTCATTCTAAGAACCAAGTGTTTTTATAACTAATCGTCGACATTTTGGAAGAAGGAATAATATACAATTAGGTGGTTACACATGGGATTTCCTGTCATATGCAACTTAAATTAGGAGTACTTTCATCCTAAATTAAAGCTTTCTCTGCTCAGTCTCAAAAAACAGACATGACGTCAAGTTATGGAATAATAAGATGCCTTCCCAGGAATCGCTTCAGACAAGTTATTCTTGCCAGGATCGTCAGGAATTTTGGCCATTATTATTGATTATTAGTAACTCCACAGTACAACCAGGCACAAGATTTTCTGTAATGTTCGAACAACTTCACTGACACAGAAACAAACTTAATAATCGTATTCACAATGTAAACCCTGAATAAAAATTTTGCCCACGGGTTACAGCTCAGCCAACTGGTGAACGACGAGAAATGCTTAAAGACGTATTTGAAAGCTATGAAGTAAACACAAATAAATCGATTTGTCTAAATCAGCTCGTTCAACGCATATTAAATATCAGAAGATATAATCCCTGTGATAAAAACTAATACAAACATAAAAGTGTCTGTAGCATGTTTTTCACCTAAAACTGGATAGCTATTCATTTGCCACTCATACTTTGAAGGGCGTCATTGTTTTAATTATTCACTTTGTTTAATATTGAGGTCGTAGGGTCACTTGGATATTCTCGGAGTAGTAATGGTGTTTTGGTTATGCGCAAAATCCTGGCTTTTCAGTCTTATTTTTAGTTTATTTTAATTATATCACCAAATTTGAAGTAAAAACAAAAATCTGTATTTCGGTAGATCCAGATGACACCATAAATGAATATCACGGGAAGCACCCAAAAAGTCATGACTGTTACCTTACGTCAAGAAAAAAGCAACAGTGATTCAATAAGTTTATAGACTTTCTACTATGCATGGTAGCTGGCCACAATGATGCGGAGTATTGAAATGTAATACTTAAACCGTTGATCATAGTAATCTCAAGTCGATCATGTAGTGAGATGTCAATTTATGGATAACGTTTGAGTGACGTCAAAGGGATTTAAAAAAGCTCACCTCCTCACAATAGTTCAAAAGGAATTGTAAATTAGCTTGAGAAATTAGAATTTAGGCGCAATTTTAAAGCTAGGGTTTGGGATCCCAGTTAGTGTTTTCATTCGTAATAAAAAATATGCCAAAATACTATGGGGCTATTTGAAGGTTGCGCCGAAATTTGAGGGTCGTCGTTGCAAACCTGATCAATTCGTTCATGGATTTTTGTATTGCCCTAAATTGTGGCTTTTTGTCCTCAAGTACCGTGTGAGTCATTCGGTGCTGCTTCAGTTTGGACCAGTACTTGATTGCTTTGATATGTAAGCATATAAATGGTGCGCAACTTGGATAAAAGACTGCAAAAAATGTGATTAGAGGGCAGTACTTCCAGTGAATGGTATATTTGTTACAGACCGACCCATATTTTGTGAGTTTACCCGTTAACGTAGATAAAATGATGTGTCTTGATACTTCATTATTTGGGCTATAATTTCTGAAATCAGCCTCTATAAGCCAACTTCTCTGATCTCCATGAATTTTCTTGTGGTGTAACAAGTTTGACTTGCACATCCAAGGTTCTATGTTTTTTCTTCAGTAGCAATAATACATTTCTTCCATAGATTAAGAACCATGTTAGTCTCATCTTATTTTAAATTTATCAGTGCGGAAGTAGCGTTCCTTTAGGATGCTTGCAGTAAATGACTGATCAGAGAATTTGTCTGTGATTTTGTGCGATGAGTGTAGTTTGACTTTTTTCTTAGAATATTCTGCATATAAACATTATTTGAGGGAATTCGGGATAAAAGTATCCCATTTGAAAGCACTTTGATTATTTACTGGTCATTCCACACCATCCTAAATCGTGAATTTCCCACTGAATCCTAAAATAATTACGGATTTTCTCTTTCCTATTAATTAATTTGCACAACGTGCTGTACTTATGAACTTTTGAATTAGTATGCGTTCAACTTACGTATGTTTGAATAGTCTTCGTTTTGCGTGTGAATTGATAATAATTAATCCCCCGCCTTATTACATATTCCATACAAATGGTTTAAAACTATTATAAACAAGTCTCAGACTCAAAATTATATCGCTCACAGCCACTCTAAGTAGATCTCGGGGTAAAACACTATCATAGAAGACTTTCCGTTGGAGATTATATCATACATATATAAAAGATATCAAAGTGTTTTGTGAGTAGTGAGAGAGATGGAACTGTTAAAACGGATATAAATAAAAATTTGTAGGGTAGGTACGAAGTTAATATTTACGTTGTTAGTCTGTCAAACTCATGTTTCGATGACGTTTCATCTGGAGCTATTTTGCTGCAAATTGTCTTTTTATGATTTTTCAACTACCATATTTGGCTTAATATTGTCAAATTTACGTTTGTAACCCACGATTTTGGCATGCAGGGCAAAAGTTAAAGTTTTATTCAGCTTCTTACGTTATGGAAAGCTCGGTATGATCGGAGGGTCTTACTTTATTGGTATTTTTGATAATCTTAAAGGAGATTGTTTTTGATGTCTTGCATTTTATTCGGTTCAGTTTATTTTCTAAATTTTTTCGATTGTAAAGCAGAGAGTTTGTGTTGCGCATGAACTAGGGGTGTTTTGTAGTGTGTTCAGGGTTTTATAAAGCACTTCAATATCAGTTTTTTTCTTTTATTTATGGGGAATCACCAATTCTAGCGTAATGGTCATACAGTGTATTTTGAAATACATGTAATACGGTTAATCCTGTGAAGAATTATACTAGTTGTCCATACTAACGGCCTTGTGACACATACCCATATTTCATTCATAAACTCTGTCTGATCTCTTATTTTTGTGCGTAATTTTTGCGTAAGCTCACTTTATTATATGGAGCTGTAACATCAAGTTCGGATCAAAAACTGCTGATCAGAATTAAGGGATGGACACACCTATTGTGGAATATTCTACCTAAACAAAATTCATAATAAAGCCTAATGTTTAGTTTAGGCAATATCGTTAACAAGAGGTTATTATGTAGCTAATAACTGGTCCCCAAGGTTTAGGGATAGTTTTATTCAGTACTGTTATGTTTCCTTAGAAGTAAACACGACATTATGGTACTTGGGGAACTACATTATCCTGCTAACTGCGTATAGTTGTTTAGAGTGAAAATAAATCAGCCGGTTTAACTTGTAGCTCCGTCGCCATTCTAGCCCAATATTCCTATGATTTATTTTGTTAGTATGATTTGTATTATCTTGGCAAATTTTTATGTTCGCATATTTGACGTCAGCTTCTAATAATCTCGGCTTGTCAGTACCACTGCACTGGATGTAATTATGCTAATAACCTTTATTTTGATGTTAGTGTTACCCTAATGACCACGACTAGAAAGGTATTCCGTGTTGGTTGTGACAACTAGTTTAAAAGGATAGATCCAAATGATTTTCATTTATGGCATGTTACATATGATAATGTGTAGAATAGCGAGGTTCTCAAGGGTTTGCATGAATTAGTATTTCTCATATTTATGAATCATCTGAGTTAACATTGCGAAGTAGTTCGTTGTTTCAGATTGTCATGTGCACTTTTGCTTGGTAGGCTTGACCAAGCAAACCTAATCTGTAACGGGCTTGGTAGTTTCGTCTCTCTAATAACTAAGGTTTAAAAAAATGTTTCGATCATTATCCTTGAACTCCAGCTTCTCACGCCTACTCAGCTTTTAGTTGTTTTAGTGTCTGGAACTAAACTATAAATGAAGGCTCAACGAGGCTTTCATGCTAAAATGTAAGATTTTTGATTAAGTTTTACCAGGTAAATGCGTATGCTCATTAAGTATCATGTTTCCCTATTTAGGGAAATATCTAGTTTCCGATTAGTGATGCGTACAACAATGATATGGGTAGTTATGCGCCTCATCAGACTTATTTGACAGGACTTCATAAAGCACTTCTGGTATTTTTCAAGGAAAAATTTGCCGCCTATCTCCGTCATTGATATTTCGTCACTGCTTATTTACATTTATTTTGACTAATAATCATGAATGGACTTTGAATTTATTCCAGAACATGTTAACATCCTGTTATATAAACTTTAGGATTGAATTTAAATATCCTTCGTCTGATCGGTGGTTATTTACCTTGCTGCAGGGGTATTTTGTTAAAATCCAGTTGTACAGTCATTGCTCGTTTGTTTCGTGCAACTATTTAGGCACTTAGAACAAATTTTTGGTTCCATATTATTGTAACATGTATTAAATTGGACGTCAACTCAGTTTATCAAGGTTCCTATAGGTGATATTACTGATAACGTTTTGGTCGGTGTAATCAGAGGGATCATGTTATTTATTTACTTTGATTACAGATCAGTCAAAAATATCTTGTGATTTTATGAAGATTGCGCATAAACATGGGAGGGACATCCACCAAAATAGCGTTTGAAGTGTGTGTGGTAACAGGAGACTACAGTGGCGATGAATTGGGTCCCGGAGTTAACATGGTCATGTTCGATCACTGCGGTAATCAGTCACCAACAATTACTTTGGATAATATATTTCAAAATGATATTGACTATACACAAGCAAAATTCACCATTGATTTACAGGCCTGGAGTCGACTTAAAGTAAATCATGACTTACACGATATTGATCACTTTGTAATGTAGGTATTTAAACGACTGCACCATATCGAATTTTGGTGTACTACTCAGTCTTATCCACCACCTGCTTGGTTTTTAGATAGAGTAATTATTAGGGATAGAAGATTTGGGATGACTGCTGAGTGGAAATATTTTTTTTTTCCTGTACATCAATGGATTAGCCAAGATCACCAATATGTTGTTCATGACTGTGAGGCCTGGATTCCTCAATTGGAACCATTTCCAGAGTTAAGGGAAGAGGAAGTTAGTAGACGTATGCAATTTTTTACTTTATTCCAACGCTCAAAGGGTTTGCCAGTCGAAGTGAGTTAGTGTATAATTTAGTCTTACCTGTTACTAATCAGTTACAAGAAATCCCACCTTCGGAATTGTTCTCATCAGACTCTCGAGTAAGTGATAATCATGGTTATTTAAAATAAATATCTAGTGGGATATTGAGCCTTTAATTCTGGAAGTTATTGAACGTACTGGTCTGGCTGAAGAATACACAAGTGAAGAGTCTTGGGATTCTCTCGACACATTGGGAAACTTTTATAAGAAATATAATATTACTGAACCTGTGGTGAGTAAATTTTATTTAACCAAATATTGCTTGAATTTTAGAACTTGACCAAAACATAATAAATTCATGGATTTTACACAAGAGTATCGATTCAAATCTTTCGTGAATTTTCATTCGGAAATCAAAGGGTCGAATAAAAGTGAAGTTGCAAATAAAACAAAAAGAATATTTGTTTGATTTTGTAGCCAATTGTAATACAAAATTTATAGAGAAGGAAAACTTGTTTCAACAGATATCACTCCGTCGCAATCTCTATGTACACATAAATGATAATTTGATCAGATTAAATGAAAGCTAGGAGTCGCCAACCGAAGATATGGAACCGCTAACTGTTAGTCTAAAATATGTCGTTAAGTGCAGAGTACCTGAATGTAGGAGACCTTAGTTGACAAGAGTCTAAATCTATTGCGGTGGTGCAGATACGTCCATTCTTTATCCTTCTTCTGAGCTTCAGTTTCGTTGTTTTTCTATACGCCTCTTTACATTATTTCGTTTCTTTTCAAACCTTATTATCTATGCTTAGTATTTATTTTTACTATCGTTGATACTAGGATGACCTCGCTGATGTGGTGTGGTAACCTGGGGTGAGGCACGTTTGTGTCAGGTGTCACGTTTTTTACGAATAAATGGCTAATTAGTGTGTGTGTTTAGCGGTGTAAAAGACGTTTGGGTATAGGTTGAAACTATACAAATTTGTTTAGATATAAAGTCGCATACTTGTTTGTTAGATATAGGTTAGGTTATTAATCTCACGGAGAGTTAGTAAACTTTTGTCCCAGTTATTCACATAGTCGGATTTTGTAGTTTGTAAGTCGTGTAATTATTTTATCTATTTCATTAAGTACGTATATATTCAGTTTCATTTCATCGTTTTCTTATTTATAAAATTCTGATTTTTTGCAGAGTTTACAATTTTGGATGATGAATGATATTTGCTTTGGTGCACAACGTATTCGTGGATGTAATCCATTCACTATTCAAGTCTGTCGTACATTACCAAAAAGGTGAGCAAATTTTTTTCTTAACTCTTTATTATGACTCATCAGTTTATTACTATTTAGTTGAGTATTAATAGTTTCGGTTAAATTCCTCATTAATTGTGTACAAACTACTTCGGTTAACCCGTCTATATCCTACGAAGAGTTTAAGTGAAAGAATTTGTGACTGATCACTTGATCTCCAGGTTGCATTTTATGTTATGTATTCTTGAAAGACGTTACATCCGTGTTAGCAAAACTATTCCCGGCCGTAGCTGCTACCTTGACGTGGTGGTCGGGCTTGCCCATCGTGATGACCTAACCGAGCTATATTGTCTGGAACACATGTTCCTGCAGGTTCTACCATGCCAGGCAGGTCGATTGGAGAACGGTAAGACTAGAAGCAGCAACTCAAGGTCTGAGGGGGAAGTCGTACTGCTGACTGTACAGAGGTGTGACAGCAGTAAGGTGTTTCCCTCGGACAACCAGCATCTACAGCAATGCTGCCTTCTCACAAGAAAGGAAGGGGTTAGAAAAGGTTGACCCTAAAAATGTCACACCTCACTTTACCCCACAGATTTCCGTCTCCGGCGGTAAGGCCCTTTGAAGAACGGAGCTAACACATTAAAAACCTCCCACAAAAAGGTCGTGCGCAACCGGCCTCAAGCAGTTGTCCCTTGGGCTCTGCGGTTACGCACCCGGGTCGTTAATACCAACACTAATCTGATTTCCTTTTCAGGTTCCTCAAGAAATACTCTTCCACGGTGTGGGCAGCTAGGAAATGACATCAGCCTTCATACCCGTAACAGCACACGAGACCAAGTTGGTCACATTCAAATCCTTCCTACACTTCCTAATAACTCTCTTATCTCCACGACTAACCCTTCTCACACCCCTTTATCACCTTGCCCCACTAGTGCGAACGATTCGAGTACGCGGAACGTTATTCCTGGTCTCCTGAAACCACGCTCTAAACTACACTTAGGAGCTTTCAACGTCCAAACATTGTGCCAAATAGGACACCAGGCTTCCTTAGCTAGAACTTTAGAATCTTGCTCCATCGATGTGTGCTGCGTCTCCGAAACGTGCACACAGGATCCGAGTAGTGTCATTCATTTGACCTCCCCATGTCAAAGAAGCCCTGATGCTGCTTCCCGTGGCCTCGCTGGCGTAGGTATAGCATTGAGTCCTAGGGCAGAACTAGCTCTCTTAGACTGGATCCCAGTAGACAGTCGTTTGTGTGCTGTCCGACTAAACGGAACAGTAAGGACTCCGAAAGATAGGGACACTCGTCGTTGCCTCTTCGTCGTCTCTGCCTACTCTCCCACTGACTGCAACTCAGATGATGTAAAAGATGAGTTTGACAGAAAGCTTTCCGACCTTCTCCGAAAAGCTAGGCGTTCAGATGTAGTAATAGTGACTGGTGACTTTAATGCTCAAGTAGGTAAACTAAGCGAAAAGGAAAGACACCTGGGTGGATCTTATGGTGTCGTGGTTCAAAGAACAGATAACGGCGACTGTCTGTTGCAGCTATGCTCAGATAACCGTCTGTTTCTTGCAAACACTAACTTTAAGCATAAGGAAAAACATCTTTTAACATGGCGACCCTCTAATTCGTCTCAACGCTGGACCCAAATAGATCACATCGCTATCAGCCACCGATGGAGGGGCTCGATAGAAGACTGTCGTTCATTCTGGAGCACATGCTTAGACTCAGATCATGCTCTAGTGCGAGCGCGTATTTGTCTACGTCTTACTGGACGTAGGAAAGATGGTGCAAGGAAACGCCTGAGGGTCCTACTTAATGATAGTCAAGCTAAGAGTATATTTCAGGAACAACTAGAAAAACAGTTAGGCAGCTATGTAACTGATGCCCACCCCGAGGCAGCGTGGAATGACATCCGAAAAGCTGGAGAAACAGCAGTGATTTCTGCAAGTACGGTAAACCTACGCAAAGATCGTGAACGGTGGTGGGTAGCGAAAGCAAGAGAGATGGAAAAGACAGCGGCAATAGGTAACAGCAGGCAACTGTTCAGACTTGTTAAGGAAACCGGTATTAGGAACCCAACTGTTAGCGAAACAATCTCAGAGAAAGATGGACATATTATTCATTCTCAATCCAGGAGATTGGATCGATGGGCAGAATCCTTTAGGAATCAGTTCAACGGGCCTTTAGCCACACTTCGGTTTCCCAGTCGACCTGAATGGCAAGGTGATGTAAGTCCTCCGACTCTATACGAAGTTGAAAAAGCTATAGGAAATCTGAAGCGTGGGAGAGCAACAGGCCCTGACAGGTTTACCCCTGAGTTTTTTAAGGATGGCGGTCCAGTATTAGCAGCGTGATTGACTGAGGTCTTAGGTAGAATCTGGGAACTGGACGTAATCCCATCTGACTGGTCTCAATCACTGATTGTGTCAGTCTATAAAAAAGGACAATAGTCCTCCTGTGACAATCACAGAGGAATTAGTTTGGCTAATATGGTGTCTAAAATATTAGCTTCAATAATACTTCGACGTCTAACCAGAGCTCGTGAAGAGCAGATAGGAGAAAACCAGGCTGGTTTCCGGCCTGGACGTAGCTGTACAGACCAGATATTCACACCACGACAGGTCCTAGAACAAATTCAGATGCCCCACAATTGTAGTATTTCTCGACCTTAAGGCGGCATTTGACTCTGTTGATCATGAGGTTCTATGGCAGTGATTGTCACTGAAAGAAGTACATTAACCTTATAAAAACTCTCTACTCGAACACAACTGGTCGAGTAAGAGCTTATGGCGAACTGTCATCAGAACTGATTACCTCAAGTGGCGTTCGTCCAGGGCTGTCCACTCTCTCCATTCCTGTTTAACTTTGTCATTGACATGCTTTTAGAAATAACACTTTCGACATCTGACTTTCCAGGGGTTGAACTTCTACCGAAAGATTCACTTGTTGACTAAGAGTATGCCGATGACATAGTTCTATTTGGTGAAGACGCTGACAAAATACAGAGTCTGCTGACCACTCTAAGCAACAATGCAGGCATGTTCGGGATGCGATTTTCTCCCTCAAAATGCAAAATGTTGCTTCAGGATTGGGTTGCGTCGACACCCGAACTAGTGATAGGGAGTGAAGTAGTTGAGCGTGTCGACCGCTCCACTTATCTTGGAGGTCTCATCAGCCCTTGTGGTCTGGTGTGACGAAATCTCAGCACGGATACAGAAGGCTCGACTAGCTTTTGCCAACTTGCGTCATTTGTGGCGTAGGCGAGATATCCGTCTATCAACCAAAGGACATGTTTACTGCACAGCAGTTCGTTCCGTCCTACTTTATGGCAGTGAAACATGGCCAGTAAGAGTAGAGGATATTCGTAGGTTACTGATATTTGACCATACGTGTCTTCGAAACATCGCTCGTATATCCTGGGACCACCGAGTAAGTAATGCAGTTGTTATGTAACGGGTACTAGGTAAGGATGGCAAATCAATTGAGGAAGTAGTGAAACTTAATCAGTTGAGATGGCTGGGACATGTGTTGCGCATGCCCGACCACCGACTGCCCCGACGTGCTATGTTTTATGGTGTAGGAGTCGGTTGGAAGAAAGCTAGGGGCGACCAGACCAAGACATGGCAGAAATCCATGAAGTCACTGACAAGTGGACTCAGTCATGTTGATAGGTGTAGACTACCTGGTTGGGATCCGCTAGATGATAGCAACCGATGGTTAGAGACCTTGAATGACATGGCTCAAAATCGTTTGCGATGGCGCAGGTGCATCCACTCTCTGTGTTCTCTCAAACTCTAATCTTCTGAATTCTTCATGTCCTTTACTTTCTTTCCAAATATATTCCACTGGACTATGCTCCTTACACAACATCATCAAACCTTAATTTTCCCTGTCACTGCTTATACTTTCACTACCTCTACCACTACGGGATTTGAATCGATAACTGAATCTCTGTGCTAATGTTGTACGGCAACTCGAACTGATGTACGTACGTACAAAGTTCCACGTTGTTACTGACTGTCTGACTGAACAAAACTATTGTTTCAACCTAATTTACCTCCATTTTACTCTTTCACGTTGTTGATCGGTGTGATTTATACAAAACTACTGATATCGACTAGTAGTATGTGTGGTTGGTTTGTTTTAATAATTGTGTTGTAAAGTGGGAGTAATGAAAATAAGTGTTCACAACAAAATCCGAACGTTGTAAATGTTAAAATAACCGGGCGAATGCAGTTGCTTCTTAGAAACAATGAATGGTATTGCTCCTAATATATTTATGTTCATCAACAAATATTAGTGAAACACCATGTCATAATTATAAAGCTTTATTTTTGGAAATAGGTTATGAGTGATAGAGATTCATCTTCATTATTTTGATCCCTGTCAAAGGTATATATTGCTACCCTCTCTTGTTTACTAACAGCCTTCAGTTTCTGTAGTTGCTTGCATTACCGCTAGTTTTTTATTTCTTAGTACGTCTGAAAACATGATTTAGTCCGATACATTATGGAATCAAATGGAAAAATATGGTATTCGAAAGAAATTGATTGTTGTGAGTTTGGTCTACTCCTCTTGTTGTCACTTTGTTGTGAATTTCGCCTACCCACATAACTCTGAGTCCTTTATCCCAGATATTGTGTATGCTGAAGGTTGATTACTAACCCCAAATTCATACGTTCCTAAACTACTCAAGCATCTTTTATTTTTCGTATCATTCAAGCTCGGAACGTTATGTGATTGTATACATGAAGTACGAGTCTACAATGCGCCACAAATAATGAATATGAATTGGTACACTACCATGTGATGTATGATAAAACGTTGAGTACTAGTGTCATAGTTAATTCACCAATTTATAAACGATAAGAGATATTGCATGCTCAACGATAGCCTACCTCGTCAGGTGATGTTTAATGGTATAGGAGTAGGCTGGAAGAAATCCAGGGGGCGATCAAATCGAAATATGGCACCAGTTCATGAAGCCATTGACACTTGAACTGAGCCATTTTAATAAGTGTAGACTACCTGGTTGGAGTCCACGTGATTATCGCAACCAGTGGTTAGAGTCTGCGAGTTACACTTCTCGAAATCGTTTTCAATGGCTCAGGCGTATCCATTCTTTGTCTCCCTCTAATTTCTAAGCTTCTTAATTCATAATTTTTCTTGAATCATATGCCTAATCCTTTCCATCACCACTCATACTGTCATTACCTCTACTAATGTGGCATTTGTCCTGGCAATTTCATCTTGCTGTGCCAATGGAGTATGGCAACTCGAACTGATGTGCATACATACCAGGTTCTGTGTTGTGACCGACTCATCGCAATGGTCAATCAGTCAAATGAAATTTTGCAACTAGAAGAATATGAAAATATCACAAACCAACTGTGTAAAAGATATTTATAAAATAACGAACTAGCTCCCTAAAAATAAGTTTCCAAAACTTCACATTTTTATTTCTTCTCTCTGCCCCAACACTGATCACTAATCTAAATTTTGTTTCACGGTTTTTTCATCATGATTGTATGGACTGACATCTTTTAAAACAACATTTTATCATGAACGAACTAATGTAATAATCAAATTGAGACAGTTCTTTGAAAACACCGTGGATCAGTTCTTCTGAATTGTGACTTCTTGTACTTGTTTTAAAGAAATTGAAGCATCAATCTATAATATAGTCATCACTTCAAGGCTGCATTAACGACTTGTTCTAATGCGTAAAAATTACTTCATTTTAACTTACAAAAATAATGAAAAAGTCTATATATAGTATTCATCTGAATGTATTCTGTTATCTAAACGGTTGATATTTCAGATGAGTATTTTACAAACAATTTCTCAACCAGATTTTTTTGAATTTTGTCTTCGTTATTGCTCCTTTGGTTTCCGCTACTCATAAATAGTACCATACCAAAGAAATATATTTTAGTTATCAGTATATATATAATTTAAGTATCCATCGAGTGATGATAACTTACTCAAATGTTTTAAATATGAATTTATTGTGTGAATAAATAAATGATTAGGGTATAGAACGATTAGGACAATTATCCCTTCTTTCTTCAAATTGATTAATTTATATATTTTTGTTACTTCATTTTGTGCTCAAATTAATTGTAGTTTTGAAATGGTGGCAAATTCACTGAAACCTTATTTAGAAGGTTGGACACTACGTCAAATGGTGTCAGCTAATCGTTTGTACTTACTTGATTTTCATATAATGCAAGGACTTAGTTGTAAACGTGGTCGAGAATTGTGTGCACCATTAGCTATCTTTTTTTATACTGAAAAGAGACAATTAAAGCCAATTGCAATTCAATTAAATCGTAATTCGAATGATGCAAGTGGGGTAAGCATTCTATTTCAGATTTATAATTCCCAATCTTTTACAGGTTATTAAATCTTGAAGTTGGTATACATCTATTATTTTGAGTACTTATCGTGCAGTTACGATAGTATAATAGTGTAGGATAGGGCAGTGGGCTGATAGAATGTTTATTATAAAAAATTAAAGTGTTTATATAGTACGCATACATAGACCTCGATCATTCTTTTACATCTTGTGGTGTATTCTGCAATCCGAACTGTCTTCACATCTGGTCTTCAAGTGTTCTGTATACTCTGTGCTTTCGACGCACTGACGAGCTCGACGTCACTTTCAGCTATAGACTACCTACAAGCAATCTTTTGAGTGGGGTTCACCCCAACAGAATACCAGTTTGGTAAAGAAGTGTATTGCTGAATAATTTATTGGGCTTCCAGATCGATTATATCAACAACCATACCATACTTAGCAATAAAAATATCTAATTTCTTGATCATTTACATAATTCCAGTCACTTCATGAGGTGTACTACTGTTTCACTCGGACAAATGTATGGGATTTTCAGTAGGTGGTTGCGGAGAATGTTGGATTCCATTGAAATCATGGACCGATGAATGTAAAAGTTAAGTGTTCGCGCGAGATCGAAGGGTCTAGGTTCAAGTCCTGTGTGCGGGATCATGGATGCTCACTGCTGAGGAGTCTCATACTAAGACAAGATGACTTTCCAGTACTCCCTGGTTTTCATTGATGGTCTAACATTGATCTGCTCATGATTTCAATGAAATGTTGACGATTTCACGAAATAGTATTTAAAGTATTTCTTAGACTGAAGTGATTCTTCAGAGATTAAAAGAGTATCCTCTGATGATAACTAAAACAATCTTTCCGAACTTACTTGATACTAATGTTTTAAATGGCGTCCTTTGTCCAGTTATCCAAATGTATATAAATGTAGAAAAAATCATATGGATATATATGGATATTCACAATACCAGATATCTGTATCCAACCGAATAGTTGACCATTACAAAAAACCTACCCGTAGTTTCAAGTACAAACTTTGTATTTGTGTTATTGCTACAAAGTATAAGTCGATACTTCTGGGCGGGAGCAACCGTGTTTCGAAACTTAGAATGTGTTTCAAAAACCCTTGGAACACTCTTCCATAATACTGTTCCATAGTGTCATACTTAGCTATTATAACTCGTTTGTAACTGTTGTTTGCAAATTCAAATAGTATCTTTGTTCACTTGCAAACTTCATATTACTATTATGCTAATCTAGAGATCCGATATAAATTTGGACTAATATTTTTCTGTAATGTTGAGTTTGAAATAGAGTGTACTGTAGAATTAGTAAATTAAGTTGAAAGGTGGCATTCTGTATTAGTTTAATCTACTGCACTCGAATGAAACAAAAATAATGAATGTACGTGAATTATATGAATTTATTTATTCCATAGATTCTCTTCAACTGTTTATAACCTAAAAGCAATATAATAATTATTTATAACCAATGTACATACTTCTAATCATATTAATGAAAAAAAAACATTAAAAAATTACAAAAATATTCACATGATAATTTCAAGGAGAAAAAATTAAAAAAAACACTTGGCGATGAATTCCTAGAAAATGAAAATTGATATCAAAAGCTACGCAGTAGACAGATTTACAGAATAAAATGAATAGAGAGCAAAAAGTGAAGCAGTAATGAACAGAAATAATTTACGATTGAATGGATGAAATAAAGTGTTATGCAATTAAATATTTGAGACTGAACTCAACGGGGCAATGTGAGACTGATGATTATATCCTATTTAAGTTTAACTTCAACCTTTTGTATCTATGACTTCAGCAAAATATAATATGCTCGAAATTGTCTTCATATTGATAAATTTGATTGTTCTCGCATTCTTGTGATTATTAGTTAACCAAGTAAATTCGATCACTTATCACTTCATAAACCAGAAGCCTATATCTTTGGTTAAGTAAATTTACTAGGTGTCCACAAAATCAAGATTATTAGATTTCCAAAACTTACTAGGTGTTCAGGTGATGCTAAAGTGTATGAAGTGATAGGTTTATTGAGTACTATCGTAGTATGATCGATGGAACTATAATAGAAGCTCATTTCAGTCAAATGTAACCTGGTTAGTTTAATCTTACTAATAGACAAAGCAAATACAACAACCTATTCCAAAAATATGGTATTTTTGTAGTTTATGGAACCTGTAGAGCATTTGTTTGTATTTTACTACTGTTAATGTTTTACTTGAAATATGATCAAGACATTAGATATTAATCTTTACTTTATGTTCTCTTATTATATATTTACATATGCCCCAGTAATAGTAGTAACAGCTTTTTTTCAAGCTATGACTTGTACTATTAACAAAGCATAATGTTTTTATCTTAGATCATTCTTCCAACTGATCCAACTTCAATATGGTTACAAGCAAAATTATGGGTTAATCTTGCTGATGCCTGTCATCATATGATTGTTGGTCGATTGTTAACTCATTTAATATTGGAATCAATCTATGTGTCATTACGACGTAATGTATCACAATCACATCCAATATATCATTTAGTTGCACCACATTTCCGCAGTATCCTACCCGTAACAAAGTAAATTTTATTTTTATAGAGTTCATATTGGAAGCTTGAGTACTAAGCATAATTCATTCTTGCATACTAATATAATCTACAATAATTCTTGCAAAAACAGACGATTATATCCAGTGTTCCTAGGTTTTCAATGTTAATCTAACTTAGATCTGTTCATGATTTCAAGTTGAATAACGGTTTTCTACATTTAAACAGATTATGTTGCTCATAGAAGAATTGTAACAAGTATTCTGCTGTATTTCAGTCGTGATATTACTGTCATCTGTAGTAGGACACACAAAAATAATTTGAAATCAGAAACAGATTGTTATTGTGGTATATGCTATTTATGCTGACAGATATAAGTAGTATGTAGCCTTAATCGGAAGTGGAATGCCTAGTAGCAGAAGATTGAATTGAATTGAACATAAAGGAAATCGAAGAGCCATCGAAATAACAACAGAATTCTAGGGATAGTGAAGTAGGTAAAGACAACACAAAGAACATATGCAAATGATATACTTAGTGCATGATTTTCATATTTTACTTATCTCTGTATGATTTTGCATTAAACAATAAATTGGTCGTCTCCAGCTTATTCATTACTTCATATAATATATCGTGTGATTTCATGGCGACATTGTATTTCTTCATCAGCGAAATTCAAATAGCTTTCACACTTAGGATAATTAAATTATGAATTGTAAATTTCCCCGTAAGGATCTTTTCTATTTATTCAATACAATACGGTATTTTATTTGGTTTCGTAATAATAATAATAATATTATTATTATTATTATTATTAACCCCACAATAACTTCCACAGTTTTGTGATTATGATCATATTGTCGATTGATTTAGCTTATACATTTCCAAGATTTCATAAGTTTCTACTGAATAATTGTATAATATTCTTATTCTTTTCCATTAACTAATATGTTGACGGCTTTTTAAGGTCTAGGTTAGATAAAAACGTCAGCTAGGTGTGCGTCGTACGTTTACATATATTTTGTTGCTCATAATGAATATGTATACCATATTACTGTTTTGGTTTATTGAACTCCTTTCGTATAAATCTTAAATTACAACTCATAGTTTTTAAAATAATTATTTCACTTGTTAAATTGAAGGAAGTTAAAAGAATGGACATTTGAAAATGGATGGATATCTCGTAATATTCAATTGTCACGTAAAGGAATTAAACAGTTATTAAGACGAGCTTTTAAAAAATGGCGTTTTGATGTAAATGCAAATATTTATCGTGAACTAGAGTCCAGAGGAGTAAGTCTTTCGGTTTTGTTTTATTTTAAGTGAATATATAATATGAACTATCCGGACTGTAATATACCTCGTGTTAAAGTAAGCTTTTATGTTTTAGTATTTTTAAAGTACTTAAATGTTTATTAACTAATTCGTATCGTAATTGAACGGTCTCTTTGTTAAAATACCACTGATAGTATTTCTTATTCCGTATTTCACATGCGTTAATACTTTATTCTGATAGTCTATTTAGTCTAACTGTGTTATTTCGAAGTAAAACTGCTAACCTTTCAGGTTTTATGTGGTATCACTGATGGTGTTTTCAAGGGGATAGTTCAATACGAGTCTCGTATAATAAAAGTATTGTGCCTCACATATGTCATTCACATTATTCAGTGTGAATATTAAAAAGGGATAGCGTCATTAATTATCTGTTTTGTTTATAAATCCATCTACTGTATCTATCGTTTGCCATTTTATTTTGATATTTCCAGGTATTTGATCCAAATAGTTTAGGTAATTATCCATATCGTGAAGATGCTATACTTATATATCATGCATTGGAACAGTTTATCTCAAGCTACGTGCGTCTATTTTACCGTGAGTATTATTTCCGTTTTTTAGTGTCAATTTCTTTTTATTCGTACTTCTGTTGTTCTTTTCTATCTGCGTACCCAGAATTTGATATACGATGTGTTTTGTGACGTAAACCCAATGTGCGAAAAAGGTATTGCATTGTTATAATATCGTTCATGTTCACATTATATAGTGTGACCTATACTTAATGTCTAGGTGCTGATGATTATAAATGTCTGCGTTGAATTAGGTGGACAGTTCATTATTTTATATTGTAACCGCCATATTGAAATCTGATTGTTCTGCAACAGCGTATTGACTCAATTAAAATGATGAAGGAACGAACGATGAATGAACCATGAAGATACGTTCTCTGTTTGATTTCATATATTGTACTTGAGCTATCCCCGTTTGGGTGACGGTGGCAATAAAAATCCAAATACAAACTGAATTATATGATTTTGTTTCAGACACTCATTTACTTAGGCAGATTGTAAGATAAGAAGTGGAGTTCGGAGTTTATCTTCTCCTCATGTTATCTTACAATCTGCCTAAGTAAATGAGTGCCTCTTTGTCTTCCTTTAAACAGTGAGGCTAAAATTGCTTTATACCTTTCTTTCTAAGAAGTAATTCTTTCTTCCTGTAATATATCCTTATGCTTAATCTTCCTTTTAGTTACTACTATCATTGAAGTAACTACTTCTATGAATTCGGTGTTCATTTTGTTGTGTTAATGAGGTATGGCAGCTTGGACCGATGCATATATGTGCCTAGTCCTACGCCGTAGCTGACTGACTGACTAAAAGTGCTTAAACCATTGAAGAACAACTCGTAGCATTTTACTTATTCTTTTTAATCAATATACTCACTACGAACAACTGAAGTGGCTTTAGTTATGTAATGGATATTCTGCATTAAATCTTTCAATGGAGGGAAAAATATCTACTGTTTATCTAAAGGAGAACGATTCCTTGTTCTTCCGAAACGTAAATAAATCGTGTAACAATTAGTTTTCCTATTTAATTGTTCATGTTAGTAAACTACCGTCACCTTGGTACAATTAGTTCATCATGTTACTATAGTACAAGGAACAAACTAACTCCAGTATATCCCAAATAGCTTCCTAGAAAAATTTGTATGTCTGTACTATTACAGTGTGGTGCTTAGTTTTAATAACTAACACATTGATTTTCTACCTGACATAGTTCCATGTCCCATTTTCTAATGAATTGTATAATATTTATGAAAAATGATTAATAATGAAGTGTTTATAGTAAAGGATAAGAAGTGGAGTTCGGAGTTTATCTTCTCCTCATGTTATCTTACAATCTGCCTAAGTAAATGAGTGCCTCTTTGTCTTCCTTTAAACAGTGAGGCTAAAATTGCTTTATACCTTTCTTTCTAAGAAGTAATTCTTTCTTCCTGTAATATATCCTTATGCTTAATCTTCCTTTTAGTTACTACTATCATTGAAGTAACTACTTCTATGAATTCGGTGTTCATTTTGTTGTGTTAATGAGGTATGGCAGCTTGGACCGATGCATATATGTGCCTAGTCCTACGCCGTAGCTGACTGACTGACTAAAAGTGCTTAAACCATTGAAGAACAACTCGTAGCATTTTACTTATTCTTTTTAATCAATATACTCACTACGAACAACTGAAGTGGCTTTAGTTATGTAATGGATATTCTGCATTAATCTTTCAATGGAGGGAAAAATATCTACTGTTTATCTAAAGGAGAACGATTCCTTGTTCTTCCGAAACGTAAATAAATCGTGTAACAATTAGTTTTCCTATTTAATTGTTCATGTTAGTAAACTACCGTCACCTTGGTACAATTAGTTCATCATGTTACTATAGTACAAGGAACAAACTAACTCCAGTATATCCCAAATAGCTTCCTAGAAAAATTTGTATGTCTGTACTATTACAGTGTGGTGCTTAGTTTTAATAACTAACACATTGATTTTCTACCTGACATAGTTCCATGTCCCATTTTCTAATGAATTGTATAATATTTATGAAAAATGATTAATAATGAAGTGTTTATAGTAAAGGATAAGAAGTGGAGTTCGGAGTTTATCTTCTCCTCATGTTATCTTACAATCTGCCTAAGTAAATGAGTGCCTCTTTGTCTTCCTTTAAACAGTGAGGCTAAAATTGCTTTATACCTTTCTTTCTAAGAAGTAATTCTTTCTTCCTGTAATATATCCTTATGCTTAATCTTCCTTTTAGTTACTACTATCATTGAAGTAACTACTTCTATGAATTCGGTGTTCATTTTGTTGTGTTAATGAGGTATGGCAGCTTGGACCGATGCATATATGTGCCTAGTCCTACGCCGTAGCTGACTGACTGACTAAAAGTGCTTAAACCATTGAAGAACAACTCGTAGCATTTTACTTATTCTTTTTAATCAATATACTCACTACGAACAACTGAAGTGGCTTTAGTTATGTAATGGATATTCTGCATTAATCTTTCAATGGAGGGAAAAATATCTACTGTTTATCTAAAGGAGAACGATTCCTTGTTCTTCCGAAACGTAAATAAATCGTGTAACAATTAGTTTTCCTATTTAATTGTTCATGTTAGTAAACTACCGTCACCTTGGTACAATTAGTTCATCATGTTACTATAGTACAAGGAACAAACTAACTCCAGTATATCCCAAATAGCTTCCTAGAAAAATTTGTATGTCTGTACTATTACAGTGTGGTGCTTAGTTTTAATAACTAACACATTGATTTTCTACCTGACATAGTTCCATGTCCCATTTTCTAATGAATTGTATAATATTTATGAAAAATGATTAATAATGAAGTGTTTATAGTAAAGGATCGTGGCTAAACGAAACATCTTTGTAGAGAACTGACCACTCGTCTTAAACATAACAGTGTGTTGTGAAACGGATAGTATATTTCTCTAATATGCTAACTTGGAATTTATTCTAACATTGTTTTTTAGTCTGAAAAAAAGAAATTTTCTTGGCGCACTCACAAATACATTTACTTATTTATATACCGTTTGAAAATTCTTCATTTTTAAGATATTTTCTTTTACTGACTTAATTATTGAGTCTAACAAATCTGTGTTGGGATTGTCTAATTATACTTTATAAGATCATTCCTCTGGAGTGAATTTACTACGAACAATGTTGTTTATTGAAAACATTGATGCCAAATAGAATGAAATTAAATTGGTTGTTGGTAGCATTTCCTAATGTATATTTACATAAAGTTGTCAAATGTGACTATAGTTTCTAGCTTAAAGATGTCGGTGGATTGTTAAGGATTAATCGAATCGTTCGGTTTTTCTGAAAGATTTACTTCAGTTAGAGAAGCCAACGTAAACTGGTTGGAATCAGTAGAGGTAGTAGTAGTTGTTGTAGTCAGCTGTTTATTTCACTAATAGACTTGACGAAAGTTACAGTTAATCTCTCGTGAAAACCGGGTTGTAGGATTACCAATGTATTAATGTGACATATTTAGCGGGGAATGTGCCAACTTTTCTCGTAGCATAAGCAATCGATAGTGTAAATTGATAATAACCCAAAAAAGTTGTTTTATAACAATTCCTAACCTGTTTATTTTTTAGTGAAAATTATACTATCATTAGGTTATTGATATATCGAGTAAAAACTTCGGTTAATTATTTTGGGTAGTGAAATTTAAATTTTCCATTACTTCACATAGCTGGTGGAACTGAACAAATCATACATGATAACGAACTACAGTCTTGGAGACATGAAATTGCTAGTCCAATGGAAGAAGGTGGTTTAGGCCTAGTCGGTGTTCCTGGTAGTACGATAAAAGTGAGTGTTTTATTGGCTTAATGTTTTATTTGCTTTCCTTTTTTGTATGTTACATTTTAGTGACTAATAGGAATAAACGGCGAGATTCTAATTTATAGACGAGCCAATCAGAAGCGTTTTAGAGATTTTAAGATCACGGCGCCAACTTCAGTGCTTAATGCTAAAGTGCGGTCGGTTCACAGGGAATTTTGTACAAAACGTGATAGTTGAGCGGCTATAACAAATAAAACGGCGAGACTATAATTTGTGGACGAATCAATCAGGTATAAGATAACAGATCTCGGGTTTTGGTGCGAAAACCTTTCATCCATTCGGCTAAATAGATTTTTGGCATTATAGCTGAATACAGTTCGTGATGAAAACCCCATATTGAGTTCCTAACTAAGGCAAATTATGAAAATTATTGTGAGCTGGATAATAACCCTGGCTGCAGCCAGGTACTACAATATATACGGATGTTTGGAGAGCGTACAGACTCCTACATGGGCTTGGTTATGTGCATCGTGTCGTTATTCACGAGTGGCATTTTGTGTACTCAACAACCGGAGTGCACATAAACAATATTGAAGTCATGTGGTTGAGGCTGAAGGAGTTTTTAAGACTTTGTCATGGCTCCAAAGGCCGACCATTCTGTAGCCATATGGATGATTTCCTCTAGTGGATGCATAACGATTTTAGAACCTCTGAACCTCTTTCTAACCTTGGCAAGTTTTTGAACCACGAATAAGAAGTGTATCCACTTTATTTCTTTGGTTTATATAATATATTTTTACTCTATACTGACCGTTTGCTGATTGGCTAATATTTCTCAAGGTCGCTTATAATTCGTTCAAGGGTCGTCCATAAATTAGAGTCTTGCCGAATAAACATTATTCGGATTAATTTTTATTCATTGATTTAAACACATAAAAATTGGCATAAAGGAACACTAAAATATATATGCGCCACGCAGGTCATTGTATTCATGTGTGGGCTGGGATACTGTTCGGATGCCTAGACCGAGGTAGGTAGTTGTATTAGGGAGTCACTCCCCGAGCTTTTAACCTGAAGGTCTAATCCACAGCGCAGTTGGTCCCATATTAACTGGTGGTCAACATCAGGTTCATACACTATCTACTCAGGATTCTGGAACCAATGCACACTACTGGTTTGGGATCATAATTTTCCAACTCCCTGACGTAGATTCTTCGTACCCGCCAGCCTGTTTTAATAGCCGGACATTCGCTTTTCGTCCTCTCAACCTTGTGAACACCCCCCATACACGATAAAGTAGAGAGTAGGACTCCTCTGGCAGTTGCTATTTATTCGTGGTTATATAAGAGCATTTGGGGAAGGAGAATAGACTGTCCCCACTCTAGACCGTGCCTGGAAATTTGAAAGCTTCGAAGTACTTACGGTAATATAAAAAGTTCTCATGCACACACACAATTGTAAAAGTTTTAATCTATCTGTGTAGTGTACGTTTACTTTTAGGTAATAGCCAGAGACTTTCCTATTGCTAGGAGTCTGTGTGTACTTAAAATCAAAACAAAGTTAGAATTAATCAGTTAAAGTCATCAGTCTGTCTAAGTTTGAAAAACGTATGCTTCTGACGGCTCCACCATTCTGTGCTGTAAGTTGTATTCCTATGTCTGGTCGAAGATATCCAATTTTCCAAAATTATTTATTAGGCAATTTAGCTCGTTGACTGGGAATCTTCAACCTACTCTGGCATGGGCTCTCCTTTCCAGTTGTTGCTAAGCAATAACATTGTGGTGTATGCTACTTATGCTGACAGATATAAGTAGTATGTAGCCTTAATCGGAAGTGGAATACCTAGTAGCAGAAGATTGAATTGAATTGAACATAAAGGAAATCGAAGAGCCATCGAAATAACAACAGAATTCTAGGGATAGTGAAGTAGGTAAAGACAACACAAAGAACATATGCAAATGATATACTTAGTGCATGATTTTCATATTTTACTTATCTCTGTATGATTTTGCATTAAACATTAAATTGGTTTTCCCTGTCTGAGTTCTCACTTCAACATTAGTCCGTCTAAGTTTTAATTGCTGATAAAGCTTTTTATTTTATTTAATAACTAATTATGTGGCTGAATGACATCTATAGCTGATACGTATCAACAATCAGAAAATCTTATTGCAGAGGACCATTTCAATTTTTTCCAAAAATGTATTACTTCAATGAATTTGTTTCTGAAATAGAATGTGAAATATAATCTCTTATACATACATTCAGATATAATTCACTGAATACAAATAATGAACAATAGCTAGTATTTTATTTCCTATCTCCATATAATTAATTGATAAAATCAATTTCATATTCATTTCCACCCTATACAGCTTCGTACGAATTCTGGACTAGAAGGTTATCCACAAGATAATGTTACAGAAGAAATATTTGGTTTAAATACGGTTGAAGAAGTGGCTAAATTTCTAATGGGAATTCTTTATCTTAGTATTATTGTTACTGGTTCAGCGCTTCGATTGCCAATGTTTGATGAGTATGGCTTTCCAGCACAATATCCGTTAAGTCTATTTGGTTCTCCTCCATTAGATAGAAATACATTTTGTAAGTTGATCTGTACAAATTGTTTATCTGAAGAAAATGAGAGGGTAATTATATGGTGGTTTGAGAATTGCCGAGATTTTTTAGTTGAATGTAGTCGATGATTAAAGTTGCTTTCAGATTCAACAAAACATTCAGTCAAATAAATTGTAGTTATGTCGATTAGATTGTTTCTTCATAATCATAAGTCAAGCAAACTCTTCTGATATTTCTACGTTTCAATAAAATTTAAGGTACTGGGAAAAGGATAATTCTCTCTATAATCAGTAGTATTCGTTGTAATTGTATCAACTGACTTGGCGATTTAAAAAAATGCAAATTAACGTCTACAAAGTTTTATATGTGAGGTACCGAAAAACTTTTCATTCGAACATAATAACTATTTAGTCTACCAATATTTTTGGAATTAATCAAGTAACTAATGTCAGTATTTCTAGTTCCAATATTATTTTGCCACTATTTATCTTTTTGTAGAGCAATCGAGATTCCCCTAACCAAAGTCCTACTACTGTTTGTAATAACAATGATTGGGTATCTGTATCAATACCCTCGTAAATTGAAAGAGTTTCTCCTTGAAACGTCGTTCATAAGTCAACAAATTGGTTCTCACTGCTTTTGTATTTGGTATATCCTCAACCTCTGACGAGCTGTTGTTTCTTAAAAGACTTTAATTTGGTTTATTTATTATTAATATCATAAAGAGCAGTGATTTTATGCCAATTCTGTAAATAGTTCTACTTGAAATGTAAAAATCAGTGATCTGAATGTATAAGATGTTTAAGGATTGTACAGTTGGTTTCGTTTGCTTTGCGCTTATTTATTTTCCTTGACGTTTTTTCATGTAGCCGATGGTACTTTGAATGGTGCACATGACAGTGTGTTTAGCTTTTCAAATGTACAAGGTCTTGATCGTGTATTGGCTTCACTGCCCAATCGTCAAATGACAGTAGAAACTGTTCTCTACACTAGATTGGCTAGTCGAGTTCAACAATCTGTTTTAGGTCAATTTGAATCGGATTTCATATTTAAAAAGAAAGCAGTTGTTCTATTAGATCAGTAAGTTGTGTCATATTACACAAAACTCATCCTTTTAATTAGATGCTTGCGATAGATTCAATTTCACTCATATTTATTGAGTCCGTTTCTTTTTTTCTAAATAAATTCATTAATATAGATACACAATTAATACACTTAAAAAGTTTGCAGATCTTTTAATGCTTACTTATTGACTGGAAGTTATCGAATAACTAAGTACGATAAGTAAACATATTTATATGGCCTCGAAATCATAATTTTGTAGGTTTATCGAACACTTCGCGTAGAAGTTGAGAACTTCAGTCAATAATTTGTTATGGTTGTTTCTAGCCCTTGCTTACATCGAAAATAGCGTCTGGTGATTTCATATCACTTCTTGTCATCATTTTGTGGTCCTATTATGCTTTCTTTATTGGAAACATTCGCGAAAATTAATTCGTGAACCCAGTAAACTGTTGTAAGTTTATCCGATCGGGATAATTATTTCTAACTACAAAAATTCTGCAACAGTTAAAAACACCATTCAAACGAAAGGGTAACCATTTCTTTAGGGATAAAACTTGGCGTAGCTTATTTCGCTTGTACTAGTAAGCAATTTACAGTTTCAAAATCTGCTCAATATAATAAACTTGTTTGATAATTGATTAGTATCATTGTCTATGCTAATCAACATGTAATTATTTGTATGTATTTTACACTACGTACAATTGAAATCCTTATTGTACCTCTTACCAATAGACTATGTCGTAAGGGACCTATATGTATATGCATTAACATAGAGAAAACTGTAATGACACAACCTATAGATCTGGGCTCAATTTCTCTAACACTCTTCTACACCTCTTACTAAAGTTATTCAGTCAAAGAATGTTTTGTTCTAGCTTAAGCATTGATAATCTTCCTTCTAGTTTTTGTATATCTGAGTAAGGTCACTAAGTAAGTAAGAAAGAGTAGTGTTCATATGCCTCCATGCAGTTTTGTTTAATTTTTTTGTTTGTATGTGCCAAACGATGTATTTACCTATTTTTGGTATATTTGACATAGGTTTTGCATAATCACAAAAAGCTGGCACTTATATTTTGTAAACCCTAATTTTTTTAGTTTCTAAACCTTAACATCCACGCGATTATTTATCTATATAAATTAAAATTTATGGTGGCTCTTTTGTATTTTTATTACTATACAGACGTATCCTTGAAATATCAAGTGAAATTTATGACCTCAAAAATTGCTCATCATTTTAACTTGTACTAAGCACAAGAAATCTATGTAAATAATTCAACTACTTGTGTTAACTTGGTTTGAAGCAACCAATTAGAATTCAAAGTAACTTTTGTACAGGAAATATAAACTACCTAATTGTTAGTCATTAAACTTCACCATTAGTCATATCGTATAGTGATAGTAGTGCAACGATGACGGTGATCCAATTCAAAGATTAATCTGCTGAGGTACTTGAACCTCTCTTCTTTACACCAACTAATTGTTGTTGTGTATAGATTACCGTAGTTTCTCATTACTTGTTTACTTTTGTGTTCAGTTACGTGTTGGATTCCGTATGTTGTCACAGGGATTTCTCTTGTTGGTGGTTGTTCCACTCGAGTTGTTCAATTGCTCATTATTCCTACTTCGATTGGTTTGACAAGACAAATAAATGTCATCATCAGTGGAATATTTCATGTTATGGAAAGTTTTCCTTTTGTCACACATTTGTGAAATCATTCACTTTGAAACCACATTCTTGTAAATTTATGTGTAATTTCAGCGTCAACGAGAGTTGCGCTAATTATCCATCGTTTTATTTCTACTTTTATAGATTTCGCCATGAGTTGGAAGATGTGGCTAGACAGATCGATATAAATAACAGTGCTCGTGATATGCATCATCAATATCGAGCTTTAGATCCTTCACTAATGCCTAATTATCCAGGAATTTGATTGATAATCAACTGTACCTATATAGTGTTCTTTAAATATGTGTACAAAATAACTGAAACATTTTTGTCGAATGTTAAATAAATAAGTGCAAATGAAATACATATCCTTGATCCCCTCTATTGTTGTGCATTCTTTATCATGATTCATACTAAATTCTTGTTTATAATCACTTACTGCATTCATAATCTGTGGTCACTTCACTATGATTTACTCTTAAAATTGTCTTCCAATAATTTTTCTTTTCACTTTATCTAACAATGTTACCTTTTTTGATATTCTCTTTTATTTGATTTCATTTGTAATCCATTTATTACTGTATCAATATATACCTAGTCGAGTTTTATTCATCATTAAAACTATCCTTTATTATGATGTAGCGTAGAATATCTGTGATTACCATTGAAAAGTATTTTTAGTGTGTATAATCAAACTAGTCCACATAAAATTCATATCAGTAAAAGCACTATTTTTTATCATTTACACCTTAATTTTAATGTTGCTTATATATAAATCTATGTAAACTATATTGTACCTCCTTTGTCTTATTCAATTACATAACATATCAATATTATTTTATTTTACTATTCATTATTATCAAACACACTGTTGTCATTTTTAAATGAATCATTTTCTCACACCGTTTTCTCTCTATTTTCAATTTTGTGGTTTTTTCTTTTTTGCAGCGATTAGTTTATATCAATATTTGTCTTTTTTTAAAATGGTAATATCTGATATCAGTAGTTTTGACAGTTTTAGTTTTGTTGACATTACCAGCAAAGAGAATAGTAATAATAATGACGGATTTTTTTTAGAAAAAAAGTGATTTTGTAAACGCACTTTAGTAATTTTTTTTATAAATGATTATAATATAGAAATTATTTGCACTTACTCCTTCACCTTCTTAATTACTATTCTTATTGTTGCTTATCGAATGTTTGTTACTTTTTTCGGCTGAGTGTATATAACAAATAATAAATGATTTAAAAGAAAGTCGATTGATTACAGACAATGTAGTTGTGTTTTGTCTATTGTTTATTATGTTAAGTGATGATTAGATTTTAAACTTCATGTGTTTCAGTTTATTTCATATTTTATCAGAAATTGATAATCGTCTAATTAACTAGTGTATAGGATCTTTATATTCTTCCTTTGGTGTATATCTGTCGACATAAGTAGTATTTGGTACCAATCGGAAGTAGAAAACCGTGAAGCAGAAGACTATGAAGGTCGACTGGAAGAAAACAGAAACGGAAATACGAAATAGTTGTGACTTGGAAGCATCATACAGAATTTGAATAATAAATGATGGATTTAAATACATTGGTTGTCCCCATCTGCATTCTCGTTCAGTACACTCCTTCTTTGGACTTTATAGATTATTAAGAGTATTTATTATTTTTAATTCATGAAAATGTTTAAATTACCTACTACTATTTGATATCTAAAGAATGTTTGGAACAACTTTGTCGTGAGATAGGTTTTAGGGATTCTTAAACTCTATCTCAACGCTATGAACTTCTATATTTATCAGATTTTAACCCAAATCAGTTTATCTTCTTTGAGATTCTATGTTAAGTTTCTTTCTTTTTTTAATACTTTCCTCGAATTTGTTGACGTTTTATTATTTTCGCTAGACTACCTTTTATACATTCTTTAGTTCTTTTGCTAACACTAAACATCAATCATCCATTATAATTCAATTGAACAATATATACATTCTTTCTTGATGGAAATTCGCTAATTGTTAACGATTTTTTTCATGTTAAAATGTATAATAATCTAGATATGGTGATTCAGTCAAATTCAATATTATGTTTAAGGAATTTCTACGGAGTATTTAATTCTTTATTACGATCTGTTTCTACAACAGGATCTGTTAGTAATGTCAACAATCTTTTCAATTTCAAGTTAGTTTATTGATGTTCTATTATTACCCTGCTATGAATATGGTTGTTTTTTCTTGCATATTAGTCAATTTTATATAATATTTGTGCTATAAAATTATTATTCGGATAACTAAAAATCAAGAATGATAAATAAAAGTATCTTAATTGGCATAATACAAACGTTAAAATATGTAATGTATACGTTATTTTAATTGTGTCTATGTTATTATCACTACCTGGTGTTATAACGTGTATTAGTTTAGCAAATAAGAAATAAAAACTAATAGACATTGTACAAACATGATGTCCCAGTGTGAAGTCCTTCGAGAACGATTTACAATTTCGTTGCTAGAAATCGAACTTGGGATCTTGCACCCTGTGTTATTTGTAGACAATCTGTACAGGAGAACAAAAACGTGCAAGTAGCTCCACCTCGTTTGCAATATTTATGATTTCATAATATAATCGATTTTCACAGACCTCATCCTAGAAATAAATATGTTTTTATAGCTAGTTGTTGGGTTTGTTTTTTTCTCGTTTCTAGTGTGACTAACAGTATTTATGCATACCACTTTGATATAGATTCAAATGTAAATATTTTGCTCTCATTGTCAAAAGTGTTGGTAAATTAACTTTACTACTAGTAGTAGTAAATTGTGAAAATCGACATTTATTTCCATGAAAATCAGAATCAACCCTATGATTTGTATTATTTTGCTTCAAAATTCCTAACAACCAATAGTTTTCTTCATTATCTGACTTTTTGAATATCCAGTTTCCCATGTTTATTTTTTTTACTAAATGAAATCTATCTCTCATCCATCGTTTTTTTTTAATTATTAACAGAAATCTCGTTTATAAGATAATAGATATAGACCTGTTGTCCTGTGAGTAATACATAAAAATGGGAAGGATAATAAAAAGGACATGCGTACGAATGACTTATTTATGTGTATAGTTACCTAAGTAAACCAGATTATTCTTATTAATAACCTTGGAATGTTCACCGAATAAATGTGCTACACTGGTTTAGGGTTGACCTTTTTGTTTATACATTACTATAATGTTTAACATCTCCAGGTACTTTTACATATTATATTCTTGTTCGTATGACGAATAAGATTTTACCGTCGAATAAATGTAAATACTTCATAACATTGTGTAAAATATCAATCTGAGCTAATTTTTTTCAAGGGATTGTAATGGTAGTGAATGTTAAGCTGTGACTATTCGTCAAATATATTCCAGTGATAGATATTATGTTAAATTCACTAAGGTGGATTATTTCCATGTCCATCGGAATATTCTGGTCAAAAACCTATCTCGTAAAACGTAGACATGTTCGTCTGCTAGCACGTGATGTGTAAATAAATGTCTGATTTGTTTTAACTGTATTTTGCACGCGGAACAACTTATACCATTAACAATATGAGAATTCCCAGACAACTTTATACATAATCGATAACCGACAATACCTTTTTCATATTCGTCTATGCTTGCTGCTAGTTAATTTATGGCTTAAAATATATACTCGTAGGTGAATCATAGTTCACTTGTAAATAAGTGCTCTTGATGAATTTGTCTTGTGTATACTGCTTATGTGATATCATTTCATTATTCCCTCTAATCATTAGATTAGTACTATCACTCATGTAAATGCTTAAATTTAAAATAAAATACTTTTACGTTTCAACAGTCAGTGGCGTATTTTGCAGATACCATCTCGAAATCGCAGAAGTGAGGAAGTGAAAAAATATTATTCAGAAACTGGTGACTATAACCCCCCAAATCAAGATGCTATTGATAGATTTAAACGTCTTCGTTGGGGTGCATATATTCATGCACGAGCTGGTCGAGCTAAACATTTATATAGGTAATATATACACTTCTTTTGCTGTACATTATTTCATTTTTATAAATATTCACAGAATTAATATCATTGAATAATTTGTTAGAACGAAGGAATATTAGTGTTGTATGGGTACTTAATAGAGTTTTCTCCATCTTTGTGATATGTAGCCGAGTATTGAATAGTTATTTCAAGCAAATTAAATTAATTTGTACTTACTAGATCACGTTTATTGAAAATTGGATAAGCGCTTCTCACTGTTTTATACTAGGTGATAGCTTGTGTGAATTTGTAGGGTTAGGGCTGATGGTTGCCATTCTCTCTCATCAAGTATCTAAAGTTTTCTACTTGTAGACATTGTTTCAAAGTGATTACGTTTAACCAAAGAAAACCTTAATTTGAACATTAAGTGATTATTTTTAAAATCTGTGTAGTTTTGTGATGTAAATCAATGATTGTAGTAAACTGTAAGATGAACGAAAATCATTATTTTTCAACAGTGTGTGTTTGCAGTTTTATTTGCATGAATTGTACTTACGTGAGATCTGCGTTCGTGTCTTGCAGTGAGTACATTACCTTAAAACTACACATTGGAAATTAGATATTTAACATTTCCAACTTCACTTTGTTTGTGCTCTTCATTTTCTAGTGGTCTTCGTAATAAAGTTTGTGTACGTATGAGTTACATTTGATTTTCGGTTGTTCTTTGCTTTTTTACGGGTTTCACAATTTCAACAAATTCCAATTTTTACTTATTTTTCCTTTTACATTGTTACACAGACGAAGTGAATCTGAATTAGATCGGCGTTCCGAGCACATTTTGACCAATCGTGCAACAACGTTTTTAATAAATAATTTGCTAAATAGACAATGGCGAACACCAAAATATTATCCAAATGATATTTATGAACCATATCATCAAAGAACCGGGGTCCCTTGGGATTATAAATTGCGGAAACCCAAATTCTTCCCTTGAATGTTAAATTGCTATTTCGTTAAATTTACACACAAACATTTTAATGAAAATACCTTTTATGATTTATCACGTTGGAATTACAGGTAACGGTAGATATCTAAATTTATTTTCTTATACTCTTTCTCCATGACTTTGATGAAGAATAAATTGAGAAGAGTGGACGAGATACGAGGTGAAATGCAGCGAATAGTGCTTTTGTTATTTTTGTGGTTCTTACAGTTTTTTCGTTACCTTTTGATTTAAGGTCAACATGAACAGCTATTATTAACCCACGTTAAGTGATAATGTCATTAATGTGATAATGAGAATATGATAATCATTATAATCTCAATGGAACGATCCGCCAACTAGATTTGTGAACAGAGTTGACATAGGAACAAAGTACTGATAAGATAATACGATTTGAGCATGTCCATGTCGCTGTATTGACTTCGCTGAATGCGTCGGACTAGAGATCAAGTTGCTCTTCGATTGAGTCAGCCACTGGGTTCATTTATCGGATATGTAGAGTTCGAGATGTCCATCGTCTGCGAAGTCTTGGAGGTTTTGTTAGGTTCGTAATAAGGCTCAGTACTTTAATGTAGCCAACTAAGTCGGGCGTAGAGGTTATCGACGGGCTAACCACTTTAGTGGCCCTATATCTGACTCGGATTAAATCTTTTCTGATTGTGGTCAAAATATACATCGTTGCTACCTCCGTATATAATCACCGACTTAAATCGTGTTGGCGAATGACGGAATTGAATTCAAATACGAGAATGAAGTTTGAATGCGCATATTTCATACAGTCGGCGAGTGAGCTAATTCCATTTGATAATGCGTGACTCAATATTTATATTCAGACAAAAATAAATTATAGACACGTAATGGATAGAACAAGCAAATAACACTCATTCGACCATATAAAAAGTTGGCGTTAATCAGCGAATAATTGACAAGGTCATAATGTGGCTTGAGAAGAATGAATAAATTGGTCTGTCCAGAAGTTAGAAAAACCTGTGTGGTCACTACAAATACTCTTAAGTTTATTGTTTATTATCTAATGAAAATGAGGCATATTTTATGCATTTCAGTAATTTTTTAAAAGTATATTACTATAACATTCGAAACAATTTTATAGGCTTTTTTTGACGATGGCGGAAATCGATTGTCAGACACATCGATTGGGAACAAAAATTTCACATCTGACTAACAAACGGTTTTTTAAAATAACCACAAAAGTCTATTCGATAAATAAATTTGGGAAGTATTTTTTTAAATAAGAGAATTATTAACCTTATTAGGAGTCAAACTTACTTTTTGTTAATTATAAGCAAAGAGAACTATATAATTTAGTTAAATAATCTACTATTTACTATTATCAAAAGAAAGTTTACAACGATAAAGATTTTGTCATTACATTAAGTAAATGTCAAAAATTTGATGTAAAAATATACTTATCAAGTTTATTACTTGCATCAGTTGTTAATAGAAGATCATATTTTTCATTCTGTCGAGCTTCCATGTAAAGGTACTTATGTCTCTACAAGTACTGTAGTAAACAAGAACACTGATGGGGGACAATCAAATGTGTTTGAGTACAACATTACAAAATCTGTTAGTAAAATCTGAGAACCATACAGCAAATACTTCATTTACAAAAGCCAATCAATTGTCTCAAACTTGATCGTTCCTTCGTATAAACACCAATCACTCTATGTTCTTGTTCTCTTCTTTTCGATATTAACCTTCTACCATCAGGCATTTCATAAACACATGCTACTTATATCTGTTAACATCAGCAGTATACACCGATGTACCTATTCCCCTTTCGATACAACATAAGACATCACTTAAGTCATCACAGGTAAACTGTCAATTTACTTTTCATAAGTGTACGATATCACTCACGAAATTCGTATTGCCTTAAATTTTGAACGGATTACATTGGTGTTTGGACTGTAGTGAGATTTACTTGCATAAGATTGGTTGCCTTTAATTATGATAAAATCAACTTGATTGTTTTAACTGCTGATGCATCACATGGAAATAAAATCATATAATTCTGTACGAGAGTTCATTCATTAGATCCGTGATTCATTCCAATGGATCAGAGGGTGAAAACCATTAAATAAACACTTGAACACAGAAAAATTATTTGATGTATTTAAAGAAATAACACCTTGAATCTCCAGTCACTCGAGAAGCTGCATATGTTTTCAAAATGGTTTAGGCTATCAGCTGGTTACTTTGAGAAGTAATGAAATCTTCGAACGTCATCAGTTCCACATTTATTTATTTTGATAGATTCATAAGATGAGGCGAGTAGGCCTAGAACAAATTCCTTGAAAAATGGAAAACTAGTTCAGGAAGGCAATGATCTAGTTCTTGTTGTCGGCCGCAATAAAAAGAGCAGTAGACTGATGAACGAAATGCTTATCATTCTACAACTGCTCAAATATTTTTCCCAAGTAATATGCTTTGAAATAAGCCAAAAGTATTTTCATTAATATAAGGTCTTCTCAAATACCAACACATTACAAAACTATGAAAGCCGATAAACTGAACAACACATCCTAAACTTAAATTATTTTATGGGACAGATTTGATGATCTCAACGCATAAGTTTTGTAAGGTTGAATTTTCAACTGATTTCTTTAGAAAAAAATATAGCATTAGTATGTTATATTGATGTAGTATAAGACAAATAATAATCTCTGGTTTTCATCACTTCACTTATTATGAACTATTACATAGGCATTTCAATTAATGTAAGTCGATAACTGTTGTGCTTATTCTCCACTTTAAGATACTTCCAAAAACTGCTTCGACATATATAAGGAACGTGCCAAATTTTGGGTAATTTTAAGCTTCTCTAATTAACGCATTTTGGTTAAAAGTGAAATATCCTCAAGCTTTCTGAAGATTTTCTACTTTTGAACCCTAGATAACTATAGTCTGGAAAACCGGAATTCATCTTTCAGCTATTGATGGACAAGTTGAGTCTTCAATATATTTGCTTGAAAAGACTAGCAATATCTAACGGATTCAAGTTTAATGGATTATTTTGGTTTAAATTTCTCCGCAATGCAAGCTAAATATTCAAGCACTATGTAAAATGAGCAGCAAGTTCCGAAAAGTCTACAAAGTATCATTAACTCGTCAACAAATTTTCGTTATTGAAAGGTATCAAATAGTTAATGTCATTAGGAAAATAAGACAAAAGGTAGGGATTGGAAAAGCAAGAGTAGTCTACCTACAATTTAAGAAAATACGAAACTCGAAACAAATGTCCGCCAACATCGAAGTTAGAATCTTCAATAAAAACTAGAATTTAGAGAACTACTACAGTCATCATCAAAAGGGTACAGGTATTCATATACAGTTTACGCAAGATACTTCAGATCAGTAGGCCAGACACCATTAGCAAAAGTCAACAATGGCAGAGAAAAAACTAGATTCGATTTAAGGAGAAATTTAGAGAAGACACTGGAGGTGCATAGGAGACACTGCAAGTCTATAGATATCTACATCACAAATTGCCCTCTAACTTGGAATTTCGAAAGTAAAGTATAAAGTTGTTGAGCAAAGAACATGTTGAGCCAGAAATCAAAAGAATGATTAGCACTTGAGAGCAGCTGGAAAGGAGAGCCTAGAACAGAGTAGGTTTGAGATTTCTGCGAGAGGTAACAGGCATAAATAAGTAAAAGCTTAAGTATTCAATTGAAGTGATTTACGGGATATTCATATTAATTTGTTATTCCTTAAGTGAAAATTTTTATAAGATGTACTGGCTTTTCAAAAACTTAAGAAGAGTTGATGTATCTGATATTTGACAAAGCAATTCCATTCACATGACCCAAGATCAAATTTTGAGATATTCATTTTTGCCCCTAATCAAGCGGGATTAAAACAATAAATGTGATCATGATTTGGATCTACCGAGTCCATGCCCTTAGGGCTCTTTAAGCTTCAAGAACAACATATCGATACTATCGAAAGTTTAATTATTTATCAATCATATTCAAAATTATCTTAATCCTTCCATATGAAAATAAGGTTGAATAAATGACATTAAGATAATTTACTTGCTGTTAATGAAGTAACTTCAAGCCAGTTACTTACTTTAATTACGCCTGTTTCTCCTCGTGGAGGAGAGTAGGCCGCCCACCAAGATTGTTAATCACACGTAAAAGTAAATCATAAACATGTTACTGGCTAACTTCGTTAATTTTATGTCCAACTTTAGTTAACCTCTAAATCACTGAGTTTTAATCATAAAACTGGTTTAACTAAACAATTATTTATTATTAAAACAATAATTAATTAAGTGAACTAGTCACAGACTTGATTACGTTTTCAACATGTTAACACTTCGATGCCGACTACATCGTAGAGATTTTACTGAAATTTAATAACCTTTTTATAGTTATACTTTTCTACTTGAGTTGTTTTCCGTTTGATTCACCCTAAAATTTTATGAATCAAATGTACTGATATGGAGAGCCAATCAGAAGTATATATATATATAATGTAAATTAATAAATCAAGCATATGGTAATGATAAATATTAACAGAATTGAACTAGAAACTATAAGGTTATAGACTAAACTAATAGTTCTACGATATATCATTCGATTTGAAAATGACAAGATTACATTAGAATGAATTATACTCAAAATCTCATCGAAAAATCCTATGATCGATCTCGAAATCATCTGTTTGTTTAGTAAATAATTTTTTGAAACAATTAGTCCCTTTGATAAATTTCGATAATGCAATGAGAAGACGAGGGTTATCAGAGATATGTAATACATTTGCTTAATATATTTCCAAAAATCTGATCACATATGTACTTGTTAAGACATTTTTATATGAAAACTAAAATGGTCAACCAGACAGATATAAGGTAAGCCGTAACAAAGAAAAATAAAGTACACATAAACTACATTTAATCTTAATTCTTCTTTAATAATGCTAATCAACAAGATGTATTTATTATGCATTCGTGATCCACTGTGGTTTAAATTTATATACCTGCCTTTCTAGACGTAGACAGGCCTCTGGGTTATCAAAGTTACACATATTCGGTAAACCTTAATCATTGTATTACCATAATTCTATAAATAGCACTAATTTATTCCCCTAAAATTTCGAATTTGTTCTTAAAATTTCTATTTTTCAGTTTGCTGGAAGTAGTTTGAAAATACTTATGATTGTATTTCCAGATTCATTTTGTTTATTCAATCACAGCAGCTGTATTCTATCGGAATTCATGAAAAACAAACTGTTATCAATCATAGTCAGTCTTTGATAGATATGCGATATTTTGTAGACAGTTATCGTTCTCTACAAAAGCTTTCAAAGTACCCTATTGACAAGCATCAATCTCAGTAAATCGACTGATACTCTTTATCTCCGATGATCTTCCAGAAGACAGTTTAATGACTGATATTTGCTAAAAGATATCAATGAATAAATAACGAATTAATATATCCCACTGAAAAAAGAACACTACATGATAACAACGTTGATTAATGCAATTCTGAAAGTGATCTGCATCAATGGATTGGAATGAACGTATAGATACTTATTTATACAATCTAATTTCAATCGCCTATTGAGTATGTTTCGTGACATGTAACCTTTTACATACCTAATTTTTAGGACACTTCGAACTTAATAAAATTTACATTTATGTACAAAATATTCAGCCAAAATAAAATGCATAAAATTTGCTTATCAAATAACAAATAGGCAATTGTAATTGAGATTACTTAACAGCCTATAATTTCACCTGACACTCCATTGTATCAGATTTCAATTTATTGGGTGATAAGAATTAATACTAAAAAGGGTTTTATTTCAAGAAAATTTGAACAATTGAATTGGTTTGTTGAGCATGGATTGAGATGAATTCAATATTGGTCGAATACTTATTTGAAATAAGTGTCTCATTTCTTCTTAGAGATTATAAGGTATACTTACGTCTCGTTACACAGTCTAAGTATGAATGCTTGGCTATCATTTATATGATAAACGATGATATTTCTTGGGTTCCTATAGCGAAATATGTGACTCACGCTTTAAATATGTTATTTATTGTTTGAAAAACTAGAATCATGTTAATTAAACCATCGTTTAATTAACTACTCTTGAACAAATTAGATTATTATTATAGCAGTTCTTAAGACTAGAAATGTATGGTGTTCACAAATATAAGAACATTTGTGCTGGTGGAGATTTTTAGCTCAGGTGAATGATTTTGATGGAGTTTTGTTCTTTGAGCTGGATAGTTTGGTCATCAATATTTCATCATTGTTCTGAACGACATCATCAGTACAAACTTCATCAAGAACATTTAATTTCACAATTACTGATTGTTTAGACAAAAAGTTATACTTACAGGATTCAGCTTATTTTCTTTATAACTTATTTTAAGCTAAATATTTTTAGTAAATTGAATAATTTGATACAAAATATATAACACTTTATTATAAATAACATGATTTATGTCATTATGATTAGTCATTTAATTGAAATAGTAATTTATATCTTTAACTTTTAAAAAAATACAATAGTAGGTAATGCAAAATTTACCTGAATTAACTTTTAATAAAAATTTACTCTTTTTTTCGTAAAACAATTTTCTTTTATTCATTATAAAAAAAAGAAGAAGAAGAAAGAAGGAACATCAATATGCTATTAGACTATAGTTATTCATTAACTGTTTACAGTTGAAAATGTTTTACATATTGTTATTAATAATAATAATGATTGACATTAATAAAAGCCACTTGAAAATATTAAATTTACAGTTAACTGCTAACAATAGAATTGTAGACATGAAAATTTTCCGAATAAATTCTTTAACTTAATTATCATAATAAAACATTGATTCATTTGATAATTATTACCTAAATTAGCATGAATAAAATAATAAATGAATATTTTAATTAACTAAGAAACAGATTTTAACAAGTTATTAAATATAAAATGAGCAGCGAGTATAAAATAATTTTTTTCATTTCATTGTAATATAGTTTGAAACTATTCTACAATCAATTGTCTTAGAATGTTAAAGAATATTTCAATAATTAATAATTGCTTTAGAATTAGTTTGTGATAAGCCAAAAATCATATATCTTAGAAAGATCTAGGTCGGAAAGAAATAATTATTAGGATTACACAATTCCTAACGGCTGCTATTCCTCGTAGAGGGGCATGTGCCGCCCACCAGCACTTTCTTTTCAATCATGTTCCGGGAAATCCTTTTCAGTTTTTTCCATTTTTTGTACATCCTTTTAGTATCTAGTTTAATTTCACGATGTAATGTGGTACTTGTCCATCCTTTTTCCCGGTCCTTTCAAGATTTCTTGTGCAGTTTAATGATTTCCGTATTGTATGTCCTGTCCACTTCCAACATCTTTTCCTAATTTCCTCTGCATCTAGAAGCTGATTCGTTCTCTCACACAGTAGGCTGTTGCTGATGGTATCCGAACAACGGACACTCAGTATCTTACACAGACAATTGTTCATAAATATTTGTACATTTTTAATTATAGTTGTGGTAGTTCTTCAAGTTTCAGCTTCGTACAGTAGAACTGTCTTGATCTTCGTATTGAAGATTATCACTTGGATATCGGTTGATGGTTGTTTTTATTTCCATAGGTTCTTCAACTGCAGGAGTGCTGTTCTTGCTTTGATAAATCTCTCCTTTACGCCTGCATTGGATCCTCCTTGTTCATCGATGATGATGCTCAGGTACGTGACTTTGATGTTTTCGTGTTGTGATTGAAGATCTCACTATTTCCTCTGTGCATGTTGATACCTACTGATGCAGAGACTGCTGCTACACTGGTTGTCTTCATCTCCATTTGTTGATGTGTATAGGATAGAAGGGCCTGGTCATCTGCGAAGTTCAAATCGTCTAATTGATTCTGACTTGTCCAATGTATTCCGCGTTTTCCCTCAGTTGTTGAGGTCTTCATAATCCAGTCGACCACCAGAAGAAAGCGGAAGGGGAAGAGCAAGCAGCATTGTCTGACTTCAGTTCTCACTTGGAGTGCATCTGTCAGCTGTCCTCGATGCGTGACTGTGCACTGTAGTCTGTAGTATGAATTCCGTTTGATGTTACAATCTCAGGTACACCATAGTTTCAAAGAAGTTTCCATGATGTTCTCCTAACCACACTGTCGAAAGCCTCATAGTCAATGAGGGTGATGTATAGTGACGAGTTCCACTCGACTGATTTTTCAACGATTATCCGTAGTGTCGCTATTTGTTCTGTGCCCGACCGATCCTTTCAGAATCCAACCTGTTGATCTCGAAGTTGGGTATCTACTATATCTTTCATCTGGTTCAGCAACACTATTGAAAACTCTTCCTGGTACCGACAGTAGTGTGATTCCTCTGTAGTGTTTGCATCTGCTCAGATCTTTTTTTGGTATATCGATGAGATATTCTTCTTTCCAGTCCATCGGCACTTGTTCTTCCTCTCAAATCTTCCTGAAGCATACTTGAAGTTACTACTATGTCTGACTTCAGTGTTTCAACTGGTATATTATCGGTTTCTGCTGCTTTCCTAATTTCATTTGTCTGATGATCATCCTGATTTCTTCAATCTTTGGTGGAGTGTCATCTATGCTTACTTACTTACTTACGCCTGTTACTCCTAATGGAGCATAGGCCGCCGACAACCATTCTCCAACCCACTATCCTGGGCCTTCTTTTCTAGTTCCATCCAATTCTTGTTCATTTTTCTCATGTCTATCTCCATTTCCCGGCGTGATGTGTTCCTTGGTCTCCCTCTCCTCCTTCGACCTTGGGGATTCCATGTGTGGGCTTACGTTGTGATGCAGTTGGGTGCTTTCCTCAATAAGTGTCCTATCCACTTCCAGGGTAGTAATAAACCTTTGTACTGCTGTTTTTCAAGCTGTCCATTGTTTCTTTAGCTGCAGTTTCATCTTAACAACCACCAGGTGATGATCTGAAGTAATGTCTGCTCCTCACTTGGTTTTTCTCATCCTCCATTGACCGTCTGAATTTCCTATCGATGTAAATATGGTCGATCTAGTTGTCTGTAATGTGGTCGTGATACCTATATAGCTTTGTTTATGCGTTTGTGTAGGAATACTATGGCACTTGTAACCAATTTGTTGAGTGCATATAGATTTGCCAAGCTCTCACCATTTTCCTAGTCCATGTCGTCATATGACATCTTCATATTTAGTGTTGTCCATTACGACTTTAGCGATTAGATCACTCGTCAGGATGGTCAAATGTTTTTATTGGCACTGTACTAAGATTGATTGAAGGCTCTCATAGAACTGATCTGTATCGTTGGTAGGTGCATAATGTCGAATAACATTCATTGACTCCTCATTTCCGTTGTTATTTAATTGAACCTGCCGGTCTTCCATATTATCCAGACACGCCGTGTGTCTAGATTATTATATTATTATTGTTGCTCTGGTTGTTAGGAAAAGTATGGGCCTCGTGAATTTCGAAGAATATCGACTTTTGCCATGAGGCGTCTTAATTCTTACGAATAATGATCCTTCAGATCAGAGGGCAAAGTTGAAGTGTTTGATTTGTTTATTCTGGTTAGCGTTTTTTAGCAAGGTTGTTTTCTATGGGATGGAGTTGCTGACCTTACGCCCAACCCTTTTTTGAACTGGCAGTAACCCTAGAAGAGCTACAGGCGGATAGAAATGCAAAATTCGTAGCATATCGATGTGTTTTTCAGTGCAAGCCGACAGCAGATGACCTAATAATGATACCCCTCATTTTATCGACAGCTTTTGGATGTTTCGTCAGTAGGAATTAACAATTTCATATGCTATTAAAACCCAAGATTAAAATAATTCTCAATAATAACTGCTAATATTCTATAAAGTCAGGCCGGTTTCAACTAACTCGTGGTAGAAATCAAAAATATTTTGGACGATTCATTTCAAATTTGCTCAAATTTATCTGCATTAGGTTTTAAAAGCCAGTGTTAACTGAAATCAAAAAGCGGTACTGAATTTCCTTGCTTTGGAAAACCAGTGTTTCAAAATTTTTCTTCGACAGTTATCTCGTATTCATTTTCTCAATGATTACTTGAATAAATGCGTGTATCTAGTGTGATATTCTTAATTTTCAGTTGTTATCACTTTTAAGTAATAATATTGATTACAGTTTAAGAAGTGTGGTGGTGCACTGAAATTAAGAAAATATTCTACCTAACGAAAACCAACAACAGATGGTAGTCATCATATTAAAGCTTACTGAGAAACATAATTCTTGTTTCCTGGTTAACCAAAAATAAGTTCTGATACGCATACAGCGGAGTTCGTACTATAATTCAAAACATTACATGCTAAAAACTCAGTTTTACAAGCTTTGAAATTAAATAATTAACGCAGTTGTCGTTGACAAAGACAAATCATTCAATAAATAAGTCTTTGTCATTTTTATATTAACCAGTTTCAGCGAAATGTGAAAAGGAAAAACTAATATTTGTCAGGCAAAGAAAACTCATCGAATATGCCTTGAAAACTTTTACTGCATCTTGAGCAAAATTTTGGTTTCGTGACAGATTATTTCCTGATGTTTACAATTGATCTTCCTCTATTTAATTTATATACATTAGATTTAATTAGTTTTTGGTTGGTTAATAACTCAATGTTCATCTTCAATGCCACACCCATTTTGCTGAATTGCTTGCCTCATTTAAAGCTTGAACTATTGTTGTACAGATAATTTTGTAAAGTTCATCACAATAAATAGGCTTTTTCTAACTTCTTCGCTTAAACGTCCGCTGTTGAGCAAATCCCTGCTTATTAATAATTAACGAAAGAACACCTGCTTAGTTCTAGTTAATAAAATATGCATATATCAAAATTACTACATATGAAATCAGTGGACAGTCATCACTTCATATAGGGCTATAGTGCATAAAGGATCAATAGACATAAAATGAATGTTTTAAAAGAAGAGATGTGAAAAACTTACGGGGAGAAAGGCAAATCTTCAAACTACTTCACTGTCGTGCTAAGCATGACACCATGCCTAATAAACTCTGTCCGAGTAAATAATTAATAATCTGTTTTATCAATATTTATTATTTAGTTGCATTAAACCTCTTCTCAACAAGAGTAATTACTTTTAAATAAAGTGGTACTATTAAAATAATTCATTTCTCATTATAAGTAATTATCATCGTACGTAATAAGAAATACAATACAAATTACAAGTACATTAGTTATAAATCAACCGTTAAATATAATTCATATCAGTTCATATATAGGAGACGCTTTTACCACATAAATTCTTCTCTGTTAAAAAATTATACACAAATACCAAGCTTCTTAAATATATCACGTTCTATCAGTTAAAGTTGATAAATATATATCAATGTAGTTTTATCAACGCTGGTAACAATGAAAGTACCAGAATGCACAAGTAAAGGATATAGAATAAAATAAACGAATATATATATATATATGGAGAGAGAGAGAACCAAAGACATAGCAGTTCTTCAAGAAAAAAAAGAAAATTCATTTATTTACATATCACTTACATGTAGATGAATATAATTAGAGAACAGTAAAGAAACAATTTTAAAGTTAAGTGATGTACAGTGTTTACGATTTTATAGTTAAGTTGAAAAAAGGTGTGTACATTTACGTACACAAACGTGTAAAGGTAGCTTAAAATTGGTTAACTGCTAGGTAATTACCATCGCGATGCTGAAATGACATTAGCAAGAATTCTGCAGAATAAATTTATTTCATCACACCATTAATAGAAAGTTTATAATGATTCAATTGCAAGATTCGACGTTCTGCTATGATAACACGATAGAACAAAACTAAATTCATTGTTGTAAATACTGTAAAACTTGAAAGTAGAATCCAACTAACAACAACTGGTAACTTGTGCCTGTTAATGATCCCCCATCCAAATAACGACAGTGTAAGACATATACGAAAGATGATAAATGTAACTATTTAGAAAGAGAATAATAAAAAGAAAGGGGGATTCTTACTCAAACATAAACAAGTTGATTTATTTCATGTTATAACATTTCAAGTGGAGTGATGTCACGAAATCCATTAAATGGTCATACACATTCTCAGTTGATCTATATCATATTTACAAGCACGTCCCAAAGGCATTTATATAATAATTCGTAAGTCATCAAAGGTGTATTCAGCACATTGCAGTTAAAAGAGACAAAAATATATCATTTATTTGGCAAAACTTACACCTCACCTTTGTAAGTAAAGGATATAATCACATCTGCAAGTGATATTCAAAAGTAGGGGATAGTCAAGAAAATAAAACTACAAAATAACAAAACCGATGATAAAAGTCAATTTAAGCTCTCTACATTGTTTTCCATCAAGCTCATAAGCAGGTAAGCAGTTATTACGATTGATTGTTTGCTATTAATGCTATATTAATAGGTTTTCAAATAAATTAGGTGATAAAATGTAAATTCTGCAAACTGAAATTACTAACAAATTTGCTGTAGAGGTTAGCTAATGCATTTTATATAAGCTTAAAATCTAAATGATAAACGAGTAGATAAGTCAAGTTTGCAAATTATATCAAAATTTTTCAGAAGGGATTGTTAATTTTACTCCAGCTAACTATCGTTCTCATGATCGCTGCTTTCTTACATCTAAATTTGTAAAAATAAATACAAGTCTATTCATTCACTTAAATAAGCGCATAATTTTCTGACAGTTGAACGGAATTCTCAGGAGCGTAATCTAACACGAGGGATACTGTTACGTAAAAAAAACAATATTGGTGGAACAATGCATTTAAATAAGTTAACTACGTTTTAAAAGTTATGTATTAACAGTTTAGTTAAACCTCTTATTTATTTATTTATTTTAACACATAGATATTGGTACAAGGAGGCACCAAATACATATGCGCCACACAAATCTCAATTGATTTGTGTGAGGGCTGTGATACTGCCCGGATGCCCAAACCGAAGCAGGTGGTTTGCTTAGGGGGCCACACCTCGAGCCTTTGACCTGAAGATCTGATCCACAAGGCAGTGGAGCATCGTAAGGAGATGCAGTCTCATGGTAGCCGGTGACCAACGATTGGTTCATGCGCCATTTGTTCTCTAAGGATACTGGAGCCCATGCGCCGGACATTCGCTTTTTGTCCTCTCATTTTCGTAAACAACAGTAATGCCACGAGAAGGCAGTGAGTAGGACTTCCCTGGCAGAGGCTATATACGCGTGGCCATGTGAGAGCATTTTGAGAGGGAGAGCGGACTCTACCCACTCTCGGCCGTACCAGGGCATTTGGGGACGGGTCGAAAAAAGAATGTAAAATTTATTCATGAAAAAACTATTTTAAAGCATAAACGAATACTTTATTTGTAATTATGATTCAAATGAAAAGAGAAACTGTCTAGCAAATTGTATTTCTCACAGCAATAAGAGCCATCTAAAGGGTACTAGATATCACGAAAAAATTTCCATTCTTCAGTATGAAATGTATTTTTGTTTTTTTTAGAAATAATAGTCAACAGTAATAGAACTAATGAGTATAAATACACGTTGACTACTTTCGAGAGCTAAAACTTATGTAAACTGAGTAACTAAACCTCGTTAATTAGTTTATTGATAGTATACCAAGTCTTGACTACTCGAGTTCAACTAATTTTAATTAATTAAATATCAGTTTGTTGCATATAGATATAGCTTATAAACTTGGGACACATACAGCATTGGATTGGTTGACATGATAATATTTATAAACAACACATTTGGTTCTAATTTTATTTGTAAGTGATCACGAATGATGTTCTTTTGCATTATAAATATATGCTGAATTTGAAATATATATTTCCGTTGGGAATGTATTCTGAAAAATACTACGAGAACGATATCAAGAAATTATTCGATAAGAAAAATTACAACTCATGATGTCTTTGAATTAAATTGAATATATATTCAATAATACAAATCGATAGAATTTCTCGGCTTGACTCAGTTGAAACCCACTAATTCATTGGGGACCTATCGTGCAATGTAGGTTGGTAAGATAATAGTAAGAACAAAAGTAGCAAATTCAAAATCCGAGGGCTAAGCTGTCCTAAAAACTTACTTAATTATTTTAGCCTGTTACTCCTCGTGAAGGAGCATAGGCCGCTCACCAGCATTCTCCATCCAACCCTGTTCTGGGCAATCCTTTCCAGCTCTTTCAAATTCTTATTCATCCCTTTCATATCCGCTTCTATTTTCCGACGTAATGTGTTCTTTGGCCTTCCTCTTTTCCGCTTCCCTTCAGGATTCCAAGTTAGCGCTTGCCTCCTAATGCAGTTTGATGATTTCCTCAATGTATGTCCTATCCATTTCAATCGTCTTTCCCTAATTTCCTCTTCAACAGGAAGTGGGTTTGTTCTCTCCCCCAGTAGGTTGTTATTGATGTTATCCGGCCAATGGGTGTTGAGTATCTTGCGTAGACAGCTATTGATAAATACTTGTGCCTTCTTGATGGCGGTTGTTGTAGTTCTCCAAGTTTCATCTCCGTACAGTAGAACTGCCTTGACGTTCGTATTGAAGATTCTGACTTTGATATTGGTTGAAAGTTGTTTTGAGTTCCATATGTTGAAGGAATGCTGTCCTTGCTTTGCCAATCCTCGCCTGTACGTCTGCATCTGAACCTCCTTGTTTGTCGACGATGCTTCCCAGGTAAGTGAAGGATTCCACATCTTCCAGAGTTTCGCCATCAATAGTGATTGGATTGCTGTTCTCTGTGTTGTATTTGAGGACCCTGGTTTTCCATTTGTGTACGTTGAGGCCTACTGATGCAGGGACTGCTGCTATGCTGGCTGTCCTTGTCTGCATTTGTTCGTGTGTATTGGATAGGAGGGCTAGGTCATCTGCGACGTCCAAGTCGTCTAATTGGTTCTGAGCTGTCCATCTTATGCCGTAGTTTCCCTCAGATGTCGAGGTCTTCATAATCCAGTCGACCACCAGAAGAAACAGGAAGGGAGAGAGTAGACAGCCTTGTCTTACTCCGGTCCTTACTTGGAATGCATCTGTCAGCTGCCTCTATGCACAGTAGTCCGTCGTATGAGTTCCGGATAATGTTGACAATCTTCTCAGGAACTCCGTAGTGTCGAAGTAGTCTCAATAACGTTCTCCTATCTACACTGTCAAATGCCTTCTCATGATCAATGAAGTTGATGTAGAGTGACGAGTTCCACTCAATTGATTGTTCGACGATGATCCGTAGTGTCGCAATCTGGTCTGTGCACGAACGATCCTTGCGGAATCCAGCTTGTTGATCTCAAAGTTGGGCATCTACTGCATCTTTCATCCGATTCAGCAACACTCTGTTAAAGACTTTTCCCGGTACTGACAGTAGTGTGATGCCTCTGTAGTTTTCCCACTTGCTCAGATCTCCTTTCTTTGGAATCTTGATGAGGTGTCCTTCTTTCCAGTCCATCGGCACTTGTTCCTCCTCCCAAATCTTCTTGAATAGAAGATGAAGCATGCTTGTAGTTACTTTGATGTCTGATTTCAGTGCTTCAGCTGGTATGTTGTCGAGTCCTGTTGCTTTCTCGCTCTTGATTTTTCTGATGGCCATTCTGATTTCTCCCGTCGTTGGTGGATTGCCATCTATAGGAAGATCTGTGTGTGCTGCTTCTATGTCCGGTGGATTCATTGGCGCCGGCCTATTCATGAGCTCCTCGAAGTACTCTGCCCATCTGTTCCGCCGTTGCTGAATCTCAGTGATCGGTCTTCCTTCTTTGTCTTTGACTGGTCTCTCTGCTTTACTATATTCCCCTGCTAGTTTCTTCGTTGTGTCCTAAAGCTGTTTCATATTTCCTTCTCTTTCAGCTTTCTTCCACGTATTTCTGCTTGTCGGCTCTAATACTCTTCTTCACTTGCTTGTTTGCTTTTATGTATTCTGTTCGTGCTTGAACTTTCTCTGCTCGTGTTCGACTGTTGTTAACTGCTGTCTTCTTGTCCTTCCTTTCTTTGATCCTGTCCAGTGTTTCTATAGGGATCCATTCCTTGTGATGATGCTTCTTGGGGCCCAGAACCTCTTGACATGTTGAAGTTAATGCTTTTTTGATACCTTTCCAGTTATCCTCCATAGTGGTTTCTTCTTCCTCCAGTAGACCCTGCAGGGCTTGGAACCTGTTGTTGAGCGCCACCTTGAATTCATTGAGTTTGTCAGTATCTCGAAGGAAGGCTGTGCTGAACCTTTGTAGTGCTGTTTGTCCAGTTGTCTAGTTCTTCTTTAGCTTCAGTTTTAAATTGGCCACAACCAGGTGGTGATCTGAAGCTATATCCGCTCCTCTCCTGGTTCTCACATCTTCCATTGTCCTTCGGAACCTTTTATTGATGCAAATATAATCTATCTGGTTCACTGTGGTGTGGTCCAGTTAGATCCATGTAGCTTTGTGTTTACGTTCGTGTGAAAATATTGTGCCGCCTATGACCAATTTGTTCAATGCACACAGATTTACAAATCTTTCCCCGTTTTCATTCCTCTCTCCCAGTCCATGCAGTCCCATGATATCTTCATATCCGGTGTTGTCTATTCCGACTTTGGCGTTTAGATCTGCCATCAGAATGGTGAGGTCCTTTCTTGGGCACTTCTCTATGATTGATTGCAGCCTCTCATGGAATTGATCTTTAACGTCGTCGTTGCTATCATTGGTGGGTGCATAACATTGGATAATGTTCATTGTGATCCCCTCCTTCTTTGTTTTGAATGATGCTTTGATGATTCTGGATCCGTGAGATTCCCATCCTACAAGTGCATTTTGTGCTACTTTGGACAGCATAAGAGCAACTCCCTGAGTGTGTGGAGCATTTTCCTCTTCGTGACCGGAGTTTTGCTGATTCCCAGTACTGCCAAATTGTATCTCCTCATTTCCGTTGCTATTTGACTGGTCTTCCTGGTCTCCCATATTGTCCAGACGTTCCATGTACCTATAAAAATTCTTGCTCTGGTTGATAGAAAAGGCATCGGCCTCGCGGCTTCCGAAGGAACTCGGCTTTCATCATGAGGCATCATAACTCCTCTAAATGAAGACCTTCTGACTCCCAGGGCAGAGTTTAAATGGTTTGAGTTATTGTTTCTGGTTAGCGTTTTTTTAACGAGTTAGTTTTCTGCGGGATTGGGACGCTAACCCCATGCCCAACCCTCCTCCTTTACATGAGCTTGGGACCAGCAGTAACTCTAGAAGAGCTACAGGCGGAGTTTGTCCTAGAAACAATGAGTGGTAATGGTGGAAAAATATTTATTAAAGTTAACTAGCACCTGAAGTGACCCAGTCTTCTCGAAACAAAGTGATCAAAGATCACTTTCTCATGCATGCACCACACCTTCATTAGCCTCATCAACAAGTTAAAATTTATATTGAAGTAAAGTAATTCAGTAACATTTTTCGTTAACCACGGAAAATGCCATTTAATTGTAGTTCATTCAAGGATTATAAGTGTTACTTAGGAATAAAACCACTTACTAATTAGAAATAACTTTATAGATTTTATGTCCAATTTTATAGGTTGATAGTGTTTCAAGCGGTTGGTGCTATGAATTGCTTATCATTTATTAAGCTTCATTAGGTATATAGAAACAAAACAGATGGCATGATATGTTAAAATGTGACAAGCGCAAAGAGAATGGTGCAACAACATTGTGCAAAAATCTCAATGCTAAAACAATTTTCTGATTTCCAAAAGATGACACGACAGATGTCTACTGACTTAGACTGATAAAACTGGGTGAGTAGTTTGTGAAATTTTTCCGAATCATTAATTCGAGAAGTTTAAAAAATTGTAGTTTGTAGTTTTTACAAAAATCCTACACGTATATAAGTTTTTACGAAACATATGTACATAAAACTAAGTATCATGACAAACGATTCCGAAAACAAATCCATACGAAGATCACGAGTTTTTGACAATCGATTTGTTAATCCTGATGACGACCGATAAGTGCCATGAAGATGCGCCAAAAACAGTAGGTATTTTAATCACCTCTTTGAAAGCCCTTTTTATAAGTATAATTTTTCTCATCCATATTTTTTTTAGAACCAGGAATTTTCTACTATTTGGAAGACTAGGGTCACACTGAGATAATTTGCATGAAATGTGTGTGCACAATTTAAACCACCAGATAAAAACAGTGTAAAATATAAAAGAAAACGCGACGACTTACTGATATTTGCAACAGCATTAAGGCGGTATGTTACTGATTCAGGGTCGATGTTAAGTAATATCATTAACCTTCTTGCGTGAAGAAATATGCTGTTCAGCTCCATCAAAAGCCCAAACAACGCGTAACAAACAAGAATCCTATACCAAGATACAACGTAAAAGCAGGTTAAAACCTAAGTTAAAAAGCTTATGAAAACTTAAGTGTAAAAGACTACTGTAATGTGATGCAATATTATCTCCAACGATCTTAGTTCAACACCGCCACATATATTATGGTAAATGTCGTGAACGAAATAACCTGGTAAAATATAATTATGATGAATCTAGTATACCTGTTGCAAAACCCATAATATGATAAGCGAATACGTTCTCTGAATCTATGATATTAAAAACCAAGTCAGGATAAGTAATAAGGCTAAAAAAACATTTTTTCAATCAAAACTCACCAAATAAGCGAACTGAGTCCTGATATAAATGCATGGATTATGGAGATAGTGTAATTTCTTAGCCTTATGAACAAGTAAGTGTTTCTCGTAGTTTTATTGCTCGATTGACAAGTTTGAAGGGCATAGTCAATCATATAAAACAATAGGAATGCAGACACAGAAGTAGCGTGAATATTACTGAGGTCTATATTGGCATTCAAAACGCGATCATACAAAGTCATATTTCTTGATCCGCTGCTCTTCGAGTGTCCTTTAATGACCCACTTAAACAAGACTATGTAGTAATAAGTATTTCATTTTGTCCTATGATTTTCTGGAAGCGCCAAGCTGTCAAAGCAAATGCACAGAGACAGTGAAAATAACAAAAGATGTTTTGATCTGTTAAACAATGATATTGAACATTCGGAGCTTCATAACAAAGAGTGGACAAAATATTTTCGAAATTAGTCGAACATTCTAAAGATCAATAAAGAAAATCTACCATAAAATGTGTTGATTACGTCTTCCACCACACAAATGACAAACATTCTCAAAATAAACTTGTTTTTAATTACCGACTATTTGGATTATTAAAGTCCTTAGATATATCATATAACATCATGACCTATTGTGGCTAACGTCACTAAATTGAGCAGATACTCTTTGAGCTTGTGATATCTTTAATAACTTTATACTATATGTCATTATATGTACAATTTTTTTCCTGACACCATTAGAATTATAAGTAAAATGTCTTCGAATTTTAGACGAAAGTTTTCGCACGCCAATATGTGCGTGAAATGATAGTAAAACTTAAAATTCACACTCAGCTAAGTTCAATAAGAATTGAAGCTGTGATATTGAAAGTTCAACTACTACTGCACAATACGATAGATAACTAACGGCGCTTGGCAGTGAAAATCTTCGCAGCAACACATCAGAAGACGAGAAACAGCATAAGTAGTTATTGGGTAATAAATAAAAATTTAAACAAAAATATGTGCAATTATAGTCATTAGCGTTGGCTGTAACAACATTATAAATCAGCCAAACCGTAAGAAGTCAAGTTGTGCTACCGTTCAATCGTAGGATGCCACAGAAATAATCGGATTGTAAACCTCGGCTCTTTTCGGGCCCCTGGGTCTCCATCGTGCTTGTCAAGAACCATTCCAATATTCACGTCAACTCTTAATATCACTTTATCTTGAGAAGTATTTTATTTAACCTTCTCAATTTTTCTTACAGTTGCTTTTTTTGTGTGATAACTGAATTCTATAACGTCCACATTCTGTAGTTCTCATTTCAGTGGAAAGTAGGACCCGCCGCCATGAAATTGTAAGCACTATGATATAATTTAAATGAGCTATTCATTCAATCAACGATAATCTGTCCATAGATATCATCTTACATAGTGAACCAAATTTTGTTTGTATCAACTATTGTGAATGATATTTTTCACTTTGTATTGCGAGATTTGGATTATGCAATATGATGTTGTGAACATATTTTAAATACATAAACGTTGATGAGCAATCTTTATGTTGTCGCCAGACTTCGTCCCTCAACTCTTCAGTACGTTATTTGTTTTGAAATCAGTTTTAATTCTTTTATTTTTGTGATATTACACCTCACACCTGACCACTTCAAATGGTACAAATTGTTGTGTAAGGAATATAAGAAGCTTTCACTTAATTCGCTTCCGTGTCTAGTAGCAGCGCATCACCAATACCTCATGTAGGAACCTAGGTGTATTAACGATCATAGAGGAAAAAAACTGATAAGTGATTGTAAGTTATTATCTCTATTCCTTATGAATAGGCCCAGTTGCCTCTTGAAGGACTCTTGGAAAGTCACTTGAACTACCCCAACCAGCATCAAATTTTAGCATTCGACAACTCTTTAGGGGTAGAAGTTGTGTCTACAATCCGTTCTGCTATGTTGTGTCTCTAGTTTCTGGGTGTTACTCCTTAGGTTTGTGTTGAAGCTAAGATTAAGTAGGTGTTTAAGGGGATATCCAGAAGTGTTCATTGTACTGTTATTCATCAGGAGGTTACTTCTAGGACGCCTATACGCTTATATACGCCTACACTAATGAGTAGAGTTTAAGTGATTGGAGGCCCTCTTCATACGTCTTAAATTTGAGTCATCGAACTGATTTCGTGGCTCGTCGAAAAATCATTTTGCTGACTTTAAGTCACTTTGAACATGTTGTACGACAAATACGCTCATGTTTCATTTTCAATGAAAACAGTTACTATTAACACGTACTTTTAGTTATAAAAGTATCAAAAACGGTACCCTACTAACTAATGCTTAACATGGAAAGCTACATTATTTATCTCTAGTTAATGTTCCGGAGCTCATTATTGTGAATTTACTTCGACAGATGCGATACAACGGTGAGAACCTGAACTCTGTACGTGTAATAAATATTGAATTAGGTTTCCTTTGATAGACCATTCAGTTAACGTTTGTGCCACGTATTCAGCATCATAACCGAGTTTTAACAAATTCTCTCTGATAGACAGCGGTGAATGTTTCGTTGTTTCTATCAATTTCATGGTTCAAAAGCTTGTATAGTATCTCGAGTTGCTGAGCTAAGCGGATATGACAGAACTACCTAGGTTTCGAAAAATTCAACATTTAAACATGAATATCTGCTCATTAATATATCGAATTAGTTTATTTTATTTTGATTGTCGGCAACTTACCTTAGATTGCCTGGAGAAAAGCTGCTTAAAATTAACGCGGAAGTCAAGATTAACACACAACTGAGTTTCGATTCAACAAAACTGAGCGACAAATCCATGTTTTACTTTGAACGGCTAAGTATCGAAGTAACTGGTCGTTAGTTTGTCAAGATATAAAAATTTTAAGACATATATATCGGTAGAATATTTGAAAAAATGTACATTGTTGTTAATGTAATTTTGGTTCAAAAGACAGAATGAGGTCAATATTTATCGGTTATGTGTTGGGCAACATCACAGTAAGATCATACAACTTGAGAGCTGAAGAATTTCGGTTATGGTGTTACTACAGACTCAGCAAGCGTAATCTTTTAAAGAGTATGTTACATTTTTTTCAATTCAAAAGTTGACATGTACATCCCTTTGAATAGATTGCTACTGTTTAGTTCTTGCCATAATTATTCAACGTACCATTATTTTGACTTCATTTAATATTCACCTTTGCACGGAAGTTTGGTATATCACTGAGGACCAACATATACATATACTAGATCTTTGAAGGCTGAAATGTACATGAAAAACAACTATATTGAGATTAGTTTGAATTACATGTACTTTTTCATATCCAAAAAGACATGTCGGACAAACTTACACATAAACTTATTAGGTTTGTCTGGCATAACCCTTTCCATTTGTTGAATCAATTGACAACAATCTATTTACATAATATTTAAATTGTTGCAAATATTTGGCAGTATCTACTAAAATGTAAGTTGTTTAATACAGATATTTTGTTAAAGTGCAATGCGTCGTACAACGAAAGAGTCAAAGTTTACGACTTTGACCTGCTTCGTTCAAGCTATACACTATTACGTTGTATTTGTCAGCCATAATTTTTGAAGGACCATCAATTTTACATGAAGCGGCATTTGAGAGTTAGATGCTTTTTTAAACTTCACACGCGTACCGGATGTGGGAAGTATTTTTTAGTCTCCATTTTAACAATTTGTCAAGAAGTTTTATTCATAGTGTAATATAGATAACTTTCAGATTGACCTGGTTCAGTAACGGCGATCTCCACTAGACGTTGATCATATTGCGTGACAAATATATATCATAGTAGTACTTATCCTGGTCACCAAATTTTTAGCTGAATCAGTATGTTATAACATTTTGAAATCACTTTGAAGATGGTGAGATCTATTACGGAAATGAATTTTTGAAAGTTACTTCTGTGTTTACTAATACCAAAAGGCATAATGTACACATAATATGTATGTTTGTTTATTCAATTACAAAAGTACAAACAAACCATCATTTGTAGGACAGTGGAAGATTAAAACATACTGGTCAATACCTATAAAGAAAACATTGTTTGTATGGTAGTTAGTTATAAACTTTTAAAGCTGATGCGAAACATTTGGATTTTTTAAAATCGATTATCATTATGATATTTAGCATATCCCATGTATCTAACGTAAGATATGCGTGATTTAGTGAAATTACTTTTGATATGTAGTACTGTCTAGACGTTTTTTTATAAAGGTAGATTTCACTTGACTAAGTTCATAGAGCAAAGGCAAGTAATAAGATGCAATGAAGACTACCAAATTCAGAAAGCAAGATCATTTTACTGTTTGCTGAATCTTTAATGGCAATACCTACAACAAATACTGTTCACGTACATAAATATTTTTCCAGAACAACTTATTAAAACGGTGGAATCAAAAATGATGTATACATGTACTTTTCTCGAAAATTAGAAGTCATCAACGATACCATTTACCTCAAAGAACTCTATATATGACGTCATACGAAGACTGTTTTTTAAGCTAGGTGAAAAGCATCATAAGTTCTGCTATGTGAAATCAGAATTAAGTTGATTTTTATTGTTACTTAGTGTAGACGTTTATTTTTTCCATGATTTATCCAGTATCACTGTCAAGATTAAGTTTGATGGGAATTTTTGTCATTCTACAACATTTACCACCACTAATATATACGGTTAAATCAAGTTTTTTGCTAGATCACAGTCCTGCATGTTTAAGAACACCTGCATTCACTTAAGGATTAATGATGTAAATGAAAAGCATTATGATTTCATGTAATTACATGGACGTTGAGCCTTAATTCATCCAGCTCACCTTATTTCAGTACTTTGCCATTGATTGATTAAAATAGCTATTTTTTCAAACTCATTATTGTAAATTTGAGTACATTTCTTGTTATTTTATGCGTTGATGGGAGAAACAAAGCACAGTCTATTAATCTGAAAAAACTACATTTTACCGTTCTAACATCGTGTAAAATCTACAAATATGTTTTCGTTTGGTAATATTTAAGTCAGACTATAATTATATCTACTAGCCTGAATTTACCCAGTTCATTGACAATTTTACACTCTGTTAGTTTTTTTATTCATTTGTTGCATTTATGATTAAAAGCCCTTGATATTTGTATAAACTATAAGCTATAATTTTTGTCTAGACTTAAATAGTATAAAAATTTTAAAAATATGCATGACACACCTACATCTACACTAATTAAGAGTCATAGTTTTCATCATGTTTATATTCGATTATTACGTATTTCAAGTTTATGCAGAACTATTAGCATAACATATAATAGTATTGATAATGT